CTGCTTTCTTCTCTCCTCCATCCTTTGCTTCGACCTTTGCTTCTTCCCTTGCTTCATCATCTTTATCCTTTGCTTCCTCCTCTCCTCCTTCCTTTGCTTCTGCCTCTGCTTTCTCCTCTCCTCCTTCCGTTGCTTCGTCCTTTGCTTCCTCCTCTGCTTCCTCCTCTCCTTCTCCATTTGCTTCATCGTTTGCATCCTCCTCTCCTTCTTCTTCTTCTAATTCAGTTGCTTCCTCCTCTGATCCCTCCTCTGCACACTCCTCTTCTTCCTTCTCCTCTGCCTTCTCTTCGTCACCTTCTGCCACTACAGTCTCAGGCATTGGAAGTGTCTCAGCTTCATCCATAGTGTTGCCTTTTGTGCGTCGCAATTTATCCTGGATCGGTCGCGTTGAAGTCAGTTGGAAAATGTTGGAAACATTTTGCTTTTGCATTGGAGAAATCGAATCCATGATCGTGATAGGGTTTTTGGATCAACATCATTCATTCATTGTGTCATTGGTCTTCAACACACATGAAAAATTAGGTTTGGGAACGGCTGGGCTCCTCCTGATTTTTGGGCTTTGGTCCCCTTGTAGCTTTCTTCTTTCCAGAAGCGGTGAGCAGTCCACAAGCCTTGCGCAGCGCATGTAAAAAATATACTGTAATTGGAATAGTCATGAGTAATCTACCATTGGTGCATGTGCGTGTGTGCATGCATGAGAGCTCAGAGAATATGCTGTCGAACGGTCGAACACCTAGCCTGCAGCTTTGCTTTGATAATGGCCTTGATCTTCGCCATGCCATCGCGCCCACCCCTGAGCTAGATCGACAAAAACAACTTTGTTGCGCGATACCGAATGGAGCAGTCAAATCTATAGCTCAGCTCATGATTTCAAGAAGAGCATATAGATTGAGTAAAGTCACCGCGTGCTGGAAGCCCGCTGAAATCTCGTCATGCAGTAGGATATCAGACCGCGTTGAACACCAGATTCGATGGCAGCCCAAGCCTTATCAAAGTTATAAATATTAAATACGTACGAGGTTTATGAAAAATGATCAACATGTCCCACAAAACAAGGATCAACAACTGACACGGTGCCCGCAATTGGCACAATTCATCAGTTACAGTTGTGACAAGACACTCTATGGTCGGCCTCACTGTGGAGTTGCGGGTTCAAGGCATAGTTCATGCTTGTGATCATCAATGCCTCCTGGACACATGACACTTAGCTTAGGACTAGGATATAATTTGTAGGAATAGTGGACTACTATCTTGGACTACTCCCTCATGAGATCACTTGCTTGAAAATGGGGCTCCTCCAGTTCGCTGTCATTGGGAAGTTTGTCGCAGAACTGGGCCAAGTACTCACTCAGGAACTTCTGGTTCAGCTCAGAGCGTTCTACCTGGGAACCAGGCAATGAACCAACCACCATCCCATAATGAAATTACATTGCCGCCATTGCAACAGAATGATGCAAAACCCAAATGCTGCATGCAATATACGTCAGTTAGCTAAGATACATCGCACTCATGGATGGTGTCACCTTTCGTGAACCGGTCCACAAACGAAAAAGGTGGAACCTTGGATGCACGCTCTAAAGACGTCAGCATGCACCAACAAAAACACCATCTCTAGTGCCAAAATGTGCCAAAGCAACCCTGGAATCTTTATCACGTAGTCCAGCCTTTCTCCTCAAAACGCTCCTCCTCCATGGGATGTAATCCGGCTGGTCCAAGATGTCCTTGTAGAACTCCTGGGCTTTTTGGTGGGCACCTGCAAACCTACATGGCCCTTTTTAGCAGCTAGCATCGTAGTATACCATGGACAACCCCAATCGACCCCAATGCAGCTGAAAATCCTGCAGGAGCAAAATGCGCTCTTCAGCTGATGCCAGAGACACCATCGCTTGGCCGTGAAAAGTGGCAAGCAAGGGCTGGGTGAAACCCTCAAGTGCCGCCACTGCCCCTACAGTTTTGAACCCCAAAGCCAAGGAAGTTCGGTTCGGTTGATTGTTGGTTGTAATGCTGGATCAATCCATTGAAGGGCAACCCATCCAACCCTGGCACCTGGATGAACTGGTTGAGGATCTTCCAGGCTGATATCCAATGCATGTCCTGGGTAATGCAGAACCAAGGACTCCAGCTTGAGTCCTTTTGGGATTGGACTTGACCAATATTTGACCAATGAGGACATTCAATAATGCTGGCCAAAGTTCTCCTTGCCAAAGCTCGCTTAATCCTCATGGAATCACCACCTGGGATTGACATACTACCACATCATAATCCAGGGGCACTGATGAGCAATAATCACTCACATGGTGAAAATCTTTGCAGCACAGGCACCCCCAACGAACTCCAAAGCAGATAGCCATGATATCTCATGGCACAGGGTTCAAGGAGGGTGAGTTGATCGTGTAGCATAATTATATAAATTTATAAATGTTTCATGACCAAGTGCCCCAATATGGGGCAGGTTGGTTATTAGTCTATCCATGATGATCTCATTGCCATGTGACAATGACAATGCCATCTCAACTGAGATTGAGCCACCTTGGCCATGTGATCTATTGTTCACGTTCATTGCTAAAAACATACCCAAGCCAAAGACGGTTTTAACAACGGTCTTGGACACTCAGGGTATATATATATATATCGTATAGACGGTTTCATGCTGATTCACGAAATCTTGTATTTGTAGGTGTTGTTTTTTCCAGGAGCTTTGTGGCTCTTTCTGTTTTTTTTGATTTGACACAAAAGCTTTGCCTTTTTCTGGGGGCTCACTCCTCCCCTCTCCGCCCAGCGGTGGCCAGTTGGTGGGTTTTTCCAGTGGCACATGTGATGAAACGGCGGATGTGTGTTGGAGCTCTTCATGTTCACATCGATGTTGGGACATATTTTGGATCCTTTTTTGAGCCATTTCTGGAGCCAAAAGACCTGATTTTAGGTGCATGTTCTTGTTTAGTCTGGTCCTTGGACTCATTGGGCCCAGAATTCGGAAAAGGGGTTGCAAGGACAAACCCCCAGTGGGGACAGCAGGATGGATGTGTTTGGTCGAACCGGACACTGAATGGACTGGGTAGCTATACTCGACATATCTCTACATTGCCTCACCAAAGTGCAAGACACAATTTGAAAGCGCCCCGCGTAGAGTCTTCGACTTCCTGTTTTCTTGCAGGCTGTGTTCGCAATCTGTGATATTGGCTCTTGTTGCACTTTCAATATCGACATTCCAGCAGTAGTGTGGACGGTTTGCCATGAAGGGTTGAATCAAGTTTGATAGCCTGTCCCGAAAGACTACTTGTACCGGAATGCCAGTTTCGATGTGCCATCATGCAAAGTCAAAGCTTGCTGGGCTGGTGTTATATGGGCATCCTTCCTTTCAGAATAGAAGAGTAGAAGAGTCGCGGTATAGAGTGGTTCTGGTTTTGCCTGATGTTCCCGCCATGTCGGTCTTCGAGCCACTGACGTTGTCGGGCTTCTAAGCAGGGGAATCAGCTGTTCTTTTCGTGGCAGAAGAGGGCGGAAGACTCTCACAGCTCCTGTATGATGTGTCTACCTAAGTCAATTCTCCCGTTAGGCGTCTGAGCTCAAAATGAGGTTTTCACCGGACTTCACTCAAGAAGATCTCATGTTCTTTCTTGTTTCAACATCACCAAAATCAGTAGGGACACCAGTAGGACAATGGAATATCCTTCTTCCATTGCCAGCGGTGTTGTTGACAGAATCCTTTTTTCAAGGCTGGATCCAACTTCCGTTTTTGCAGACCCATGAAGAATCAGAAGACTCATGTTCACTGTTGCTGGCTGGTGATGGATTTCCATGGATTTCCAACTGTGCCCGAAACTTTGTGTCCAGAACAGGTGGACCTTCCAAGCATTCTCCATGAAACGCATGGGAAACGCTCTGAACTCTGGCTCCAATGGGGGGCGCAAGGCGCTTTTTGCCCGGCCCGCGGCCGGCCCAAGACAAACCGTCTCCGCGTGCAGCTTCCACCACTACCGGGTCCGGAGCGCGCCAAGGCCTGCGGAGCTGAAGCTTGAGATCCGCCAATTGGCCGAGGAGCTCGAGTTGAAGGCGACCGGCCAATGTGCCCCGTTTCCACGGCCGTGGCGCTGGCCACCGTCGTTTTTTTGGGGGGCAGGTGTTCAGCACTCAAAGGTTGAACATTGGAGAGAAGCTTGGTTTAGAGTCTAGAGTTGAGCTGCCTTATTTTCATGTGTGTGTACTTTCTCTTGTTTCTTTTCCGGGGGGCAATGCGGATCCACTTGGGTGAAAAGGTAAGGATCGATAGGAAAACGCTAGGTTGGCAAGTATAGGTCTGGTTGGCAACCTGAGCTTCTGATAGGTCCTGAGTTCTGAGTTGTTTTTTCTTCAGGACCCCCCAAGGGGCGCAACACTGATGGTCCAAACGAAACCCAAGTCACCAAGAAGTCAGCACAGTTGGTGGCTCCGCAGGTGGCTGCGGATCCCGGGCAGGAGGTGCGCCGGGGCAGGCACCCAGAGACTGGGTGGTGCTGACCGGGGAGGCGAAGGAAGAAAGAGGCACAAGTGGAGGCTTTCTATTTGTGGGTTTCCTAGTTGTGCCTAGTTCACCAAGTAAGGGAAGGAAGAACAAAGAGGAACAACTAGGTGATGGTTTCGGAGGAAGAGGAAGAGGTGCTTGGGCGATCGGGATCGGGATCTCGTTTCGCAGCTGAGATGAGGCGTGGGAGGAACCATACAACATCTTATTGGCGTAGCGGCTAGGAATTCTGGCAAACACGACACTGAGATACACTGAGTAATTGTTAATTATACAGTTTGAGCTTAGGTGCCTGCCACCGTTTCCCCGGTCTTCAGCGGTTCCCCTTTCAGGGCACCTGATTCGAGTTGACTGGAAGGCTTGCGGCTTGCTTTTTTGATGCATCAATTGAGTGGCTGGACATCCCTTCCAGGTCCAACACAGTCCCATTGGCGGAAGTTTTGAGGAATCCTCCAATTGCCCTCAACATGATCTCGAGTCTCAACTACTCAGCGAGCCGACCAATGATGTCGTGTGATGTCAGATTCTCCAGTCTGTACAGGGGTGCATACGACCCCTCAGATGTGATTCAGAGCGTTTATTGCACGTATATTCTCATCATACTTGATCCTGATCTTCACCTGACACCAGAAACAACACACATTCTATGTGAGTCCTCATCTGACGAGTCCTCACCCACACATGCCTGCTTCGAACACCGAGGCCCCGGACCTTGGCAGCTCCGAGCCCTTACGCCTGGCGCCGCAGGCGTCGGAGCGGCTCGGAGCTCCCGGGTCGAGAGGTGCGGTTCACCGAAGCAACAGGTGCCATGCCACAGCAAAGCCCCATGGGTTTGGCCGAAAAGGCTTTAACAAACACATGAAATGGGCGGTGTTAATGGCCAAATCAAACTGGTGAGGACTGGGAAAAGAGCTTTTGTCATGTATGCGGCGGAAGACTCGAAGTGTGGACATGGTGGACATGGAGTCCAAGGCTTCCCACGACTGGCATAAATCTATGATCAGAATGTTGAGCAAAACACCCCCAACGCACCGTTGGATGCACGTACTTGTGAGTCCGTATCGCTTCTACGCCACCCCTTGCTGTAGCGGGTGTGACTCAGTGTGACCCCTTGCCGTTGGATTGTGGAGAAAGCCTTGAGACGAAACCACACCAGAAGGACCGGTGGACGGTCAGTTCCGGACGCGTCGGTTTGGGTGGTGACCGGGCCCACAGAACCGATGGTTTTTTCCGGCGTCTGACTGGGGTCTGATAGCAACTTTTGAGACAGCGGCCCACAGAACCTGAAAAGAAGTTTGCCCAAAAGCCAAATGAACCATTCCAGTTGGGGGACCTTTTGCCGATGTAGTCGACACGAAAAAAACAACGAATAACGGTGTTGGACGAACTGAACGATGTTCAGCAAACGGGCGTTTTCGGTGCAGGTGCACATTCGAAGCACCTACCGGTCAGAAGCTCGAGAAAAGCTGAGGACCGGGCAGATGGGATCCGCGCTGGGATCCGAAGAGACACTCCGAGGAAAAGAACGAAACCAACAAAACAGGTGAAATCCCCAGCTGTTTGGTATTCGGAACATGGTCATCCCCCAGCTGTTTGGGGCCGTGCCATCCATGATTGCTCCAGGCAGTGCAATGGAGACGTGTTGCTTGAGCAAGCATGACGATGGAGACGGAGGGAGATTAGATACCGATGATACCGTACCGTGCTGAGGAGTTTGGCATCTACTTTTCTGTGTTTCAGTGTGTTTTAGTAGCTGATCAAGTTCCCGTCCCTACTTGTATGGTTGGACTGACGAACCAGGCTAGCACAAGGGTTGTTTTCGGTCAAGGCTCAGGCCAAGTTCGAGATCCATCACTCGATTGAACCCAAAGCAGTTCACCTGAAAGGATTGGAGGTGGAAGTTTCACAGTGATTCCCGCAACATGTGTGCATTTCGATTTAGAGTCATTCAGATTAGATTGCACAAATCGCTAGGTCGCAGAAGTTCAGATGGAGTTTCAATCCACATCTGAACTTCTCCGCCTGGAGGATCCAAGCTGTCTCGCCAGCTCGATCGCCCTGGGATGAACGCGGCTTGGCAAAACACGGTCCGCAGGATGAGACTCCCCCAGACCCTTGGCATCATGAGTCTCATCCTGCTGGCCCTGCTGGTGAGTTTGGGCCCGTGGGCTGCGTCGCTTCGATTTGGATGCCAAGCTGGTCCGTGTCGTTTTGGGGGGTCGATCAGAAGGAGCGGAAGGAGCGGGAGTCGTTCCATCGTCTCCGGTGGCCGGTTGTTGGGATGGTGGTCGAGTCAAAGGTGTTTGGAGTGCGCAACCGAGGGGCAACCGAGGTCAACCGAGGCCTTGGCCTTGGCGGGACCAGCACCATTTAGAGTGAAAAGAAGAAGTGTGACCGGCACCATTCGACTGGACACCCCCAATGGTTGTTTTTTGTGACGCTGCATCATATCTCCATCCAACTGGGTTTCTATTCTCCCTAGGGCTCCAACCATCTCCTCAGGTTCGGTGTTTAGACTCCCCCTGGCACCCACCCACCCCTGGCGCATGTTCTCACCGCTCCGGTCGTCCTCTTGGAGCCCATCTGTTCGGGTCTGAGCTAGCTGCCGAACAGATGGTGCTGGTCCGGGCTGGCGGTACCCCGGGGTGTGGGACCTGGCTTGGGCGCAGATTCTTAGCGTGATGTCATGCTTCTAGAATTGTTCAAATTGTCCACAGGTTGGATCAGAAAGAGTCCAACATTGTGACGTTTTCTTCATGGACACTCTCGACCACTCACGCGACCGGAATTTTTGAGTGGTGAATAGCATCTAGCCCAGCCCTCTTTCCCATGGCGCACGGCAGTTCTCAGCCCATGGCCCAAGCGGCAGGCTATGCTCCCTCTGACCTTCTCGATGATCCAGGCGCGCTGTGCGACCCGCAAAGCGGTGCGCGGGGTCCGGTGGCGGAACATCACCGATGTGCACAGCAGTACAACCCAGACACGACTTATGGGACTGGAATATATATGCTTACATTGATCCCCAAACCACCACCCCAACTGATCGGCACGACATGGCAATCCCATGGAGTGTTTGGTCACAGGGAATCCATTTTTACACCTGCAGAACACTTTCCTGGTTTGCAAAAGCGGTATCACGGTATCACCCTCGCTTTGTTGCAAAACATGACATGATCCAGAGAGAGAGAGAGAGAGGGGCGTCCTCCAATGCTGTTCACGTTTATCTCAAGTGGACTGACTTGCCAGTCTACTTGTCTATCTATGGGTCATAGAACATCATCAAACTACAGTCTTGGAATATGTTTGTTCAAGGAGCCATCGATTTCCTGTTCCCATGAATTTGCCTGGAGCTGGGTATTGTGAAATATGTTTAATCTCTCAATCCTGACTCTGTTTGTGACATGAGAGAACCATTGGTGCCTTTTAGAAAGATTTATGCTTCAAAGCTTGGGACATGCAGAGCCAGCAGACCAGCAACTTGAAAAGTGTGCAACTCATCTCACTTGAGGTCTCAGTTTCCGAGAATGTTCTGTCCCTTACAAATCAAAATGGATCCAGTTAATTAGTTTAGTATGTATCAGTGGTTCCAAAGACTAAAGCCATAGACCGAACGAGGGCCCCTGGTTGCTTTTGTAGTGGCTGCCACTGGGAATTGCAGATTCGTATGACCGACAGTCATCATGCCATAGATGGTTTGTCACGAAAGCTTGTTTGCCAAGCGGGTACCCGGCTACCCTTTGAGTGGCTCCGCTGCGATCGCCCGGTCCCAAAGGTCCAAAAGTTGGCCACCATGTTTCGACAGGTCCCTTTGGGTGAGAAAACATGTTTCGACAGGCATTGACAGTCCTTGAGATACAGTATATAGGAGGATCCACGGTTTGGACAGGTTTGAACTGCTTATTGTGATGATGGCTGACTCATAATTCCTATGGGTCCAGCTGTCAGGAAGAGAGCAGGTCTTGCAGAAGGACCGACGCCTCGTGTCGGAGTGTCTCGCGTGACCAGAGTTCCGGTCCAAGCGTCGAAGCGTCTTTGTGACCGGGGGCGATGCATGGTGCCATTTGCTGGGAGATGGTACGAACACGGTACGAACACCATGTAACACAACAGTACCAGTGGTTCCAAGTGTCGGTGCTTTGGTAGAAACCACCGATTTATATAGATTTATACAGAATTTATCATCAAAGCCGTCCGATCACCCGGGTGTTCTGGGGTGATTCCAGCGGCCAGTTCTTCCCATCCCAGGAGCAAAGCGACCGAGAGGAGTGGTACAACGATCGCCTCAGCGAGCGGGATTGCTTGCCCATCTACGAGGTGGGAAGGGATAGGCCAGACACTCCAATGTATGTCATCTTTGATACATACCATGGGGTGTTTTGGGGTGGTTGAAAAGGGGTCAATGTATGTGAAGATTCCAGTCCCATGGAGTGTGTGGGATACATCTTAATACTCATATGACCCAGGCACAGTTGATGGGACATCATGGGGCGATAAACTTGCATGCCTACATCGGCTCCTGTTGTTCAGCACTCGCCCTTTCACGTAGCTACATGTGCCAGTCTGATGGAGTTTTTGGGATAGAGTTTCGGAAAACAACCCGCGAAAGTAGGCCACAATTTGCGAAAGTGGAAAGTGGAGAGGGGCAACGGGAGAGGAACAAAACATGGATTTCCAGGGTTGCATCGGACTTGAACCCAAGCGGCCAAGCCCAGAAGAGGATTTCCCGTTCATGACCCTGGTAGGCGTCGATCCAAACATGGGCGTCCAGAGAATTTTGTGGTCGTAAGATCCCCACCCTGTTACTGAGCTTTCGAGGGGGGGGACCTCAAAAATGTAACTTACATTTTTTGGGGGGGACCCTAAATGTAACAACCCCCCCCCCCCAGGCAAGATTTCAGGGTCTCTGGAGGGGGGGGGGAGGGGGCCTATAAAATGTAACTATGGACCTCCCAGGGCCTATGTTACATTTTTGCACCCCCCCCGATGCCTTTTTTTGGGGGGGTGGAAGAAATGTAACAAGATACCTCCAAGGTAGTCTCACAGGTGTATAGTTACATTTGTTCTCCCCCGCTTTTAGCTTCGTGGAGCTTGCATGTGTATGTAGAGCATTTGGCTCCACGATGGCACATGCCGTTGAGAAAGACAATACCGAATTGGACTAAACGAGATTTTCAAAGATAGAATAGACATGGTCAACTCATTATTTTGTTTGGCTCTGGCTGGCAGGGATAAGGCTTGGTGATGCTTGGGAGGTGAAACATTGGTGGATCAGGTAACAGACAAGCAGGTAAACATGCAAGTTTTCAAGCCCTGGACAAACAGTAAGTTACATTTATTATGGTCCTTTTGTGAAGTCTTTTTTCTTTTTGAGCTTGGGAGGTGTGAGGCAGGGGATGGCCAGGCCAAGCATTTCTTGTAGTGTGGTGGGCCAATGACTGAGAGATGCTGAAAGAAGGATGCTGGAAGCAAACCCTCCCGTGGCACACAGGACAGGGAACCATATGTGATAATGGAGTATTTCATGCCTACCCAGAACTCACTTACATTTTTTCTTATCCTGTTTGTACTTCCACAGTAGAAATTGGACCAGCTGTGGCTGGCAGGGAGAACGCTGGGCAGTGGTTGGGTGATAAAAAATGTAACTAAGTGTGCCCCAGGCAACACACAAGCAGGTGGGCGCTTGCGAAAAGCGCAGAGGGAAAAACTGCTACAGCACGCTGCAGTTTATGACCTTCAAGATGTAAGTTACAGTTGCAGGCAGACTGCCTGGAAATTGTAACTTGCATTTTTTGCAGATTGTTACATTTTCTGCCTGTGGATGCCAGGAAATTGTAACTTACATTTTCCAGGGTTTTCTGAGAAAGTGTAACTTACATTTTCCAGGCACCCTCGAACAGGAAAATGTAAGTTACATTTTTTCAGGTCCCCCCCTGCATACTGGGTAGGGATGTCGTAAGCATATCCTCACTGGTGTGTAGCATTAATGACTCCTAGACACTAGTATAGGAGGCCTTCCATTGGTGACCCCTTTGAAGGTGCTGGTGTGTGTAGTTTAGGAGTTCAGAACCCCCAAGTGTACGTTCACTGCCAAATGGAATAATGACCATTTGAGCTCCGTGAATGCCCATTGAATGGCATCGTGAAAGACTCCGGTTCGATGTGCCCCTCCCCTGAACGGTCCAGTCCGGTGCTAAACGGTTTAAGTCACTAGTGGCGTGGCCAACAAGGAACTCTCAAGGCCTGTGAATTCAACTCTCAATATCTCAACAAACAATGAATCATCGAACTCTCGCAGATCTCACGTTCTTTTTTTTTGGGGGGGTGTTTCAGGACCATTCCAGAATTGGCTGCAGCAAAAGGGAGTCATGAGCCGTCATGAGTCCCAAATCCTTGGGCTGCCGTTGTTCGGCGAAGAGCCTAAGGGCATCTACATACCCAAACCATCCATGGGACTGGACTAGTTACAGTTACTCACATTAGAGTCAGTTTTCATGATTCTTCATGGGGTAAATGTATGAGAATCCTTGGGTTCTCCATAGCAGGAGTGGGACCTAACACCTTCGCACGGGTCCGGACGCCGGACCCTCAAAACCGGTGTTTGTTGAGGGCTCAGGGTCTTAGGGTGTAACATGGTGTGACATTGCGTAATTCTTCCAATCGCATGGATGCTAGGTACGACCTGGGAGCTGCTTTCTTTGTCGTTTTCACGTCGTTTTCACGTTGTGCACCAGGCCAAGGACCGAGTGCTTTCGGCCATTCGCCTCGGGACCCAGTGATGGTGCACCATGTGGCTCAGGGGTTGGAACAGAATGATGGAACCTCAAAAATCAATGGGCGAGCTGGCACGATTTCCCATCATTCATGCCCATTTGGCCGGTTTTGAAACCACTTTAAATCAAGTGTTTGGGATTGTTTTGGACTGTGAGTAGCTGGCTGGTTCTGATTCACCTAAGTGCAAGAACAGTTGGGATCCTGCTTGGTTTGTCTTAGGGCCGCTCCTGAAAGGACTCAGCTTTGCTTGGACGGTTCCCCCCTTGGAACCGAGCTCCTTTCCTCAAGGCCGCAGCCGTGTGACCCTTGTGGCGGCAGACACGGGGTCAGGCCCAGCACACGGCCGGCGTGTTGTTGCCACCGATCGGATGCCGGGCGAAGGAGGGTTTTTGGAGTCCAAGACGGCCGTTTCACATTTTTGACCCAGATTTCAATAGTTTGAAGCTCACTTGACCTGGGTCATCCTGAGTCCACGACTATGGTCCAGCTTGCAAGCTTCAGCATTTGATTTTGTTTTGCTGGGCTAATCCCAGATTCCTAAGTGTTTGATCGGTACCCATTTGAGATGTTTTGCACGTGTCCTGGAATTGTCAAGATTGTGCGGGGGAAGCAGGGGCTGGGACAAAGGTGTCAGACATTTGCATCCACTTATATATCCTTTTTCAGATTCTGGCAGGCATCATTGATTTTCCGCGCATGTCGCTGACTGTCATGTCTTGAGCATTTTGAGCCGCCAGGTCAGCATCATTTCAGCTGGAGAACTAAGTCACCTCGCTCATTTCTCATCCTTGTTACACTGTTACACGGCATGTGCAAATGGTGTGTTTGGGGGTCCCTGACCCAGTGAAATTCCAAGAGTTTCCAGGTGATTGGCTCTTCAAACGTGTTTCGGGATCCCAACACCATGTCCAAGGCACACCCAAAAGGGATACAAGAGATTCACTGTTACATGCTGTTATGTTGATGCCCAAAGTAAAGCCAACAAACATGTGCAGGGCATAGCACACGTCATGGAGACCACATGGGACGCCGGCCATCTCACAGACCGAAATAAGTCGATGCCAGGGGTTGCAAAGGCAGTGGCTTACCGTTTTCAGTATGAAACAACGAAGCAAAACTTGCCCCGGCCTCTGGTGGAACTACCATAACTACCGTTGTTAGTTCAACAAACCAACATAAAACTAGCCAAGCTCAGCTGGTCCTTCCGGTGTCGGGCAAAGTACCCATCTCGCCAGGGAAATCCACCCAAGTACCACAGTTCATCTTGGACGAGGCCATCTCTGAAGGCGCGGTCGGTCGCAAAATCCGCACGACTCGGCACGGGAGACCAGCGACCATGGTGGAGTTCGTTCGGTTGTAGTGATGAGTGTATACTGTTGACGGAATTGTGGTAGTGCAGGTGTTCAAGAAACTATAACGATGTGCATGCAATACATGTTATTGTTTTCTCGTTTCATCTTCAGCCCCACGCTTATTGGCGGTCCGATCTCGCTGTGAGGCCGTGGTCGAGATGTGCACGTGGTTTGCACACAGCCGAGACGCTTGGCCGCAGTCTCCTTGGCCTCGAGGCCGGTGCCGAGCGGAGAACGGGTGCCCAGCTATGGGTGGCTCGGTGGTGTTGTCGGATTGGTCAGTCAGAGGGGAATGGATGGCAATTGGCAGGATGGCAATGGAACATAACATAATGGAACTGCCTTGTTGATCATGCAGTTTCTCATATCCCAACAGCGCATGGCGCAAACTCTTGAGCCCCAAGTGATACGTTTTTTTCTCCTGGCCAAAGTCCCAAGTTTCTCCTGGCATCATCCGGCATCCATGCCTGTTCAGAGAACCACTACTACTAAGTTACTACTAGTAACAAGGGCACTACTACCAATAGCAAGAAGCTACTAGTAGCAAGGGCATCATTACTTATAAGTAAGTGCCTCTTCAGAATGGTTTTCCTGTGCATCTCGTCGGCAGGGTCTCCTGGGAACGCGGTGAGCGCAGCGACGGGCACGGCTCCACGGGCCATGTGGCTCGGGCGCAGAACGCGTTCCGCGACGGGGGCGGAGGATCGGAGGCAATGCAAAGCAGGTTTGGGTGGATCGCCTGGGTGGGTTTTCGATGGTTTTGGTATGGTTGTCATGTCCAGAGACAGTGTTTGGTTCCTGATCCGCCCGCCCAAAACCGGGCATGGGTGTTGCGAGGGCGTTGGTTAGTCAAATAATGTTTAATGTCAAAATAGATTACAACCTGCATTTGAGGACTGGGACTAGTTATAATTTAAGTAGTTTTGTACGTTTTGTGGGTAGGCATGCCTCGTAGCAGTGCGATTTTGGACTGCTCCTGGATCCTAACAACTGACAGAGGTCAAACAAAAGGTAAAGAACCTGTTTCAGTTTCTTCCACTTTTTTTGTTTCGACCATTGCCATAGGTGTGATTTTGAAGCAAACGGAGAGCTCGGCCACAGTGTGGACAGGTGTGGAAAGACTTTGAAGCTTTGATGGGTCCTTGATGGTCTGCACTGATGCACACCCTTCTCCGGCTTATGGTCCTTCCGGGAAATCGGTGCTGAATCGACCGGGGACGGAGCCTGGGTTCGGTTCGTTGGATCCAGCGCTGCGGTTCGGTTCGTGCTGCGCCCCACGGCCAGCACATGAACCCACGGCCACGACTCCAAGAGTCGAAGGTAGGAGATGAAACACTCCAAGTCGACTTCACAGGTCTTCACCAGCCCAAATGCTTCGGTCACTTGTTCATCCGGTGGAACATACAGATGGCACACAGGTCGCGGTCGCGGTCCACCGTCGCGGTCCCAGCACAGGTGGTCCGATGGGAAGAGCGTCCCCCCAGGCGAGGCGATAGGGGCGCGCGTTGTGTGGGCGTGAACGGCTCCGGTTTCACGGGCTCCGGTGTCAAAAGAGAGAGCGACATGCAGAGGACCATCCATGGGACTGGAAGAGTGACATGGGACTGGAAGAGTTACAGTATCAAGATTGTAGTTTCATACATTTCATGCTGTATCCCATGGATATCCTTTTTTTCAATGTCCTCTACGAAATCAGGTATCATGGGACAGCAAATTCAGGTGGTTTTTTTAAATCTGTAAAAGATCCACCCCCCCATTTTGTAGAGAGAAATCAGTGGGTGTCTCATTGACAAATGATTCAAATGATTCTGTAGCATTTGTTTATCCTGGCAAGTCTATACATTGAGTGCATGTGGAAAAGGATATTCTAGAGATTTGAGGGTGACTCCAGGGATTTTGTAGATACCAAGAATGTATGTGAATGTATAGTAACTGAGATTTTGTAGTAGTTCTTTTGATATGTGCAATGACCACAACTCATGGACTCATGATTTTGTACAAACACTGAATTCATGATTTTGTAGAAACGCTTTGCTTTCTACATTGCAGCCCATTTGGCTGACTGATTTTGCAGAGCATATGAGTATCTTGCTTATTTTTTTCCCACAATCCTCTTGAATCTTGAATCCACTTGATCCATTTTATAGAGAGGATCTTTTGATACATAATTCTGGAACCTCTGGGCACGTTGACAACTGATTATGTAGCATTTTGGTGTTCATTACATTTGTAAAATGGGTCTATGGAAAAGCATTTTGTAGAGAACATGTGGGCCGCCATGCCATTTTGTAGTGGAATTGCATGTACGTCCAATTGTTTAGAGACAGTTTTCTACAACAAAACTCCCACCATGACCATGCCAATTTAAATGTGGATCCATTTAATCTATGACCCTAATTGACAGCAACAGCTTAACACTTCCATACATGGATGGTTCCCAGACAGTTATTTCCTGGATTTTCCTGGTGACGACCAATGGCTAATCCATAAGGCAACTACACACAAGCACAGACAGCCAGCTGAGTTAGTTAGGGGGTCTGGGCGGGGTGGCCCGCAAAAGGTACATGTAAACTCGGCACATGCTGGGGGAGGAGGGTGGACGGATGGAAGGTTTTTTGAGGTTGTGTTGGAGGTGATTTTTGAGGGGTGGTGATGCAAGAAATGCCACTTGCATCATTTGCATCATCTGAATGGTAAGGTGTAGTTGGCACCTTGCCAGGTATAGATACCCAGGGTAGCTATAGTGCAGTTACCAGGTATAGTACTTCAAGTTCCCTTTCCATCAACCGCTCGATAACCTTTACACACGCACAGCAATCCGCAGCTTTGAAGTCTCATGCGCGCGACACCTGGGAACAGAATTGTAGCTACCCTGGGTCCGTATAAATGCTATGTTGCTATACCTCTTACACACCTACATAAGTTCAAAGCACGAATGAGACTTCAAAGCTGTGGCTTGCTGTGCATGTGTAAAGGTTATCGAGCGGTTGACGGAAAGGGAACTGGAAGTACTATACCTGGCAACTGACTTGTAGCTACCCTGGATATCTATACCTGGCAAGGCGCCAGCTGAGTAAGAAGGGGGGTTCGGGGGGTGGCCTGAGAAAGCACACTCGAAAGTAGGTGGTGTGTAGGGGTGCACGGACGCAAGGTTTTGGAGGTGCTTTTTTATGATTTTAAGAAATGCAATTGTCTTCGGTTGGCTGTAGTGCTGAATTGTAGCTACCCTGGCTATACCTGGCAACTGTCTTGTAGCTGCCCTGGGTGCGCGCGCGCGCCTAAATCACGGGATACCTGGCAACAGAATTGTAGCTACCCTGGGTCCGTATAGATGCTATGTTGCTATACCTCTTACACACCTATATAAGTTCAATGCAAGAATGAGACTTCAAAGCTGTGGATTGCTGTGCGTGTGTAAAGGTTATCGAGCGGCTGACGGAAAGGGAACTTGAAGTACTATACCTGGTAACTGAATTGTAGTTACCCTGGGTATCTATATCTGCGCCACTGCGCCAGCTAAGTAAGAAGGGGGGTTCGGGGGGGTGGCCTCAGAAAGCACACTCGAGAGTAGACTGGCTTTCGTTTTGCAGCTTCTCAGGTAAATACATATTACACACGATTACAAAACGGAGTCGTTTGTTCACACCCCCTTGTTTGTTTGCGAGGCCCTGGGGATCTATTTGCTTTTGCCACTTGGACCAGCATTCACGATCTTTTTGTTTGGTAGAGATATTTCTTAGCACTGGTGAAGTGCAATAACAGTTTCTTGTTTGACTCGAGTGTGCACTGTTGGTCTTTGTGGGGAAGTCTTGCAGAAGAGTTGTGTGCGCCCTCTTCGCGGCAACATGGGGCGATAGGCGATCCCAATTCTGCAGGTTTTGAATTCTGTTTTCCAGTGCAGACTTCATCCTGCCTTGCCACCCTGTTTCCTTGACTCCAGTAAAGCGAACATCATGTCCATTGGATTTTTCTCTGTGTGCCAAGCATGGACCCTGTCAAAATCCTTCCAAAGATTTGCAAATATATAACCACACCAATAATAACACAGTGACAAAGGCAGCCTTATAGAACTTGTCACTACATTCCTCACGAATCACCAGCATATAGTATAGAAGACCCCTTGTTTGCAAAGTACATGAGTACATATTTGTGAATAGGAGTGTTGTAACGTTCCTGTACCAGTTCCTCAGGGCTCCAAGCAGATCCTCAGAAGATAGTTAGGACCCGAAACCCACCCCAACCACCTCCTAAGGATGTGGTTGAAGGTGTAGAGGTTTGCTGTTCCACTCTAATTTTGACACGTTTCCCAGAATTTAAAGAAACATCTACAGGAAAGCCATCTAATAGGTTTCCTAGTTTTGGGGTGTGAACACTTGGACGTTTCTTGCAGATGGTTTTTTTCCCCTATATATAAACTTTATAAACATTTATAAACCAATTCGACACGTCGTCTTTGCCTGGCCGTCCAGGTACAGTGGGTTCCCTCCTGCCGCGACTCTCCCGATTGGGAGCCTCGCACATCATCGTGGATGAGGCGAGGCGGTGGTCATCACCTTACTCCACCCGAGCAGAAGGGTATGGTTGGAGTATGACAGAGGTGTTTGTTTTGGGATGGTAGATCAAAGCTACGTGGCTTCATACTTCACTAGTGAGTGAAATCGACGAGTCCTGAGAGGGCGTCTTATGGGCATCACAGCACCTTCAACTTTGAGCCAGCGCCCCTTTCAACAAATAGATAGAGCACTATTCCTGAGGAGATGACATTTGGAGGTTCACCTCAGTTCGGGCTTCTGGCAAGAGCAAGGTCTGCTTTTCAGTGCAACATGACATGTAAAAGTGGCTCAGCTCAGCCTCAACAGATCGATGTGGATCTCTTGGGGGATCGTTTAGCAGGAGGCTGACTGTCCCCGCTGTTCGTTCCCAGTCTCCAACGTGAGATCGCTCGCGAGGCTCATACGCGTGACATCCACACCGACCTGCTCTTGACCGTCTTACTGGAGTGACCCGGTTTACTGGAGTGTCGTGACGCAACGTGCCTAGAGGAAACAGGCAGAAAGAGCTGTCCATAGAACCTCACTACAGGGATGGATGCCATGATTGTTAAGGGATTCTCTGGTCCCTCCAAAAGCGAATAGAACCAAGGGAAATGTGCATGGGTTCATCGACCACGTTGGCACCGGTTTTTTCTAATCCTCTGTGGACACCTCGTAGGACCCAGCGAGCTCTAGCAGAACTTTGTGGTAGGGATTGTGGACGCCACGAACTTCATAGGACCTCCATTCCACATAAAACACGTACATAATATTGCCATGATAGAAACAAAAAGAACTTTTAGAAACCATAAAACATATAGGTCATATCACAGATCCACCCAAAAATCAATGACATTGATTTGCTTTGGGCATGCATGTGTCAACTGGGTGCTTGATATGTCGTGTCATTGATTTTTGATCACACACGTGGATGGCGCAGTTTCAAGTGCCTACAAACATGCAACCAGAAGCATAGCCACTTGTGAAGCTGGAAGTTAAGAACGTAGATGCAAGAACTGCTGGAACATTTGTCGAACAGAACAGTTGCGACCTGGCTTGTTGATCACGTCCACGGATGGTGTCTGAAAAATAGGTGCATATATATATATATAAGGACATTCGTGAATATATACATATATAAGGGCATCTGGGCTTCATTGTGGGGAGGTGTGGGGCTATAAAGTGGGTTGCCCCCACCCCATGGAATCAACTGTGCTGGAGGGGTGCCAGGAAGGGCACTTGGGCTTCATTGTGGCACTTCTGCTTTACTGGCTGAGTGGGCGGTGGGAGCAACTCATTTCATAGGAGAGGTGCTGGGCTATAGAATTGGACTTAGAATTGGTTCCCCCCATCCCCTGCCCATGGAATAAAGACATGTGCCTGTGTTTTATTTTGTTGGGAGCCCTGCTACATCCTGGCATGCTGCAACTCCCTGCCTGCTGGAGGGGTGCCAGGAAGGGCACCTGGACTTCACTGGGTGGGCGGTGGGAGCAAATCATGTCATTGGGGAGTTGTTGGGTTGCCACCACCCCCCGCCCACGGAATAAAGTGTGTGCCTTGGGCTGTTGGTACGTGGTGTGATTTTGCGAAGAGGCATCAGATGAAATCAGAAGGGATTAAAAAAGAGCAGTCTTTGCAAGACTTTGTGCGCGCATTGCAGAAGTGGATTTTTGAAGAGGCATCAGAAAGGAGTACTTTGAGCATGCATCGGGTATCATTGGGTTAAGTGTTTGCCTCTGTCTGAGGTTTGACCGGGTGAAAGAGGATTCTATTTATGGTGAGTGGGGCCACACCAAAATATGTCCCCCTTCCCGGTGCCCACCACCATTTCATTGCATTGTAAAATTTGTGGCAGGACCCCTACCCGGTACTGTCACGGGGATTACACTATTCTTACTTATTTGTTTACTATATTTTTAACATTATAATACATTATATATATAATACTTATAAAACACTTTCATTGGAAAGAGCCTGTTTTCTAAATAAAAACAGTCAATCCCAAAAGTCAAAGTCAAAAAAAAGTCAAATCAGCAAATTTCAGAAAGTCAAACAAAGTCAATTGCCCAGATCCGACCTTTTTCGACATGTTTTCGACGTTTTTTGAGTTGTTTTTTCGACGTTTTTGATTTTTTTTTGACTTTTTACTTTTTCGAGCTGTGGTCTACGGTTCACTTTTTTTCGGCTTTTTTTTACATGTTTTTAACTTCTTTTTTTGACTTTTCTTGACTCCAGTAATCCGCCAAGGCGAAGAGCCACAGTTTTGACTTGTTTGACTTTTTTTCGACTTGTGTTTTGCCTTATTTTTCGATTGTTTTTTTACTTTTTTTTGACTTTTTCGAGCTGTGGTCTATGGTTGACTTTTTTTGACTTTTTTTAACGTTTAGTTTGACTTTTTTTGACTTTTCAATTTGACTTTTTTTTGACTTTGACTTTTCCAGTTGACTTTTTTTGACTTTTTTTAAATCACGGATTCTGGCCTTACCATATGAAAGTTTTTTATAATATTATACACAAAATATTATGATTCTTCATGTTCTCTCATGTCCTAGTTCGGTCATTGCTCCTCTACCACTGTTTAACACTAGCATTTGCATAGTTCCTGGCAGTTCCTGGCACGAGTATCCCTGTGTTTTTTCCACAACCCCGGCCGCCAAATGCTGCTCAAACCAGTGCCATGTCTCAGGCTGTTGAGATGCTCCTGGGACTTGAAGGCGCGGCACGGGAGCGAAACATGGATACGACCCGAATCTAAGACAATCCGACCAGAAATCTATAGCACAACTAGTGGCAAGTTCCTGTCCTGCATGTGAATCCGTGAATCCTTTTTCAAACAACATGACTTCGGAAGCAAACACCGGACAGACCAGGTGGACTTGGAAAGGGTTAAAGCATGGAATGCTATTCACCGGATCCAGGTGGTGTTCCCGAGTTGGTGGGCTCCAAATGCATCCGTCGGACTGGACGCATGGACGCTGCGTCGAGCCAACACCGTAGCAAGTTGCCGTCGGGAGGTCGGTGCTCGGCTGCAGTCGGGTTCAGCGAGGATCCAAGAAACAGAAACAATTCAAGGCAACTTCCATCAACTTCAACGTTGGATTGAGGATCTTGGATCCAAGAAGGATATTGAATCAACTTCTTGAATCCCCAAAAAGGATATTGGCTTGAGGATCTTGTTGTGTTGCCCAGATGGCCGCAGAAATGGCCACAGAGTCAATTGCACCAATATCCTGAACTCCTCCGCGTTTCAAGCACCAGACCTATGCCGCTTGTGGTATTTGCAGGTGGAGCAGCAGGAAGCTTCGGGTTGAGGATGGGCAAACAGAAATGTGTGAACATTGTCACGAGTCACGGGCGAGTGGCTACTCAAACCTTAGGCCCTGAACATGTTGGAGATGATGCATGTTTGATTGAGAACTCAAGGTTTTGTCAGGTTTTCACTGACAACCCTTGACATACGACATCATGCCATATACCATCATGATCGTGTCATCCTGACTTTTTGTAAGCCGTTTGTAAGGTTGCTGGCTGGATGCCCAAAACAGTGCAGCTTCCTTCAACAGCATTGCCTGTCAGGTCATCGTGATGTCTGCGACGTTGGACGTGTCCAAGCTAGGAACCTAGTGATTCTTTGAGCAGATCCTTTGAGCAGATCCAGTGCTTGGGGTTGTGAAAGATAGGCAGAGTCGGCAGAGGTGCTTGGAGTTGTATGTGCGTGTTGTTCTTTTCCCGCAGCGGGTAGCGAAAGGGTCTCCTTTCAGAAGCTTTAGGAGTAGCGGAGGTAATGGCCTGGTTTTGATGACAGGGACCAAGGTTTTCGAAACTAACACCCCGCATCCGCGCTTTCGTATGGAAAGTCAATGTTTGGTTGCTGGATTTAACCTCTGGGCTGTTTACTGGGAGACTGGGTGTCCCTAAGGTGCATAGGGAGATCCAGCGCTGGAAAAAAAAACAAGAACAGTCACAAATGGATTCTGAAATTTGAAGTGTGAAACGGGGATGCAAGGAAGCAGTGGGATTGCCAGGTGGTCTCAAAACGGAGTTCCTGAGACAGGAAGCAGTGGGGGTTCCGTCTGGTTCCGGTGGTATGACGGATGGCGGATGGCAGCTCCAGGTGGCAGGGGCACTTCAGACACTTCGATTGTGCGGAAGCACGGAGCTTGCGGCACCGGCGCATATGGCATAGCTGCTTCAGAGGTTGTACCGAAGAGGATGCGCACACTGGTTGGTTTCAATCACTGGTTGGTTTCAAGAGCTGCTTCAGTGGTTGGTTTCGGCACATATCAATTGAAGTTTCAATCAATCACGTACTGGAGTGGGACAGACACTGCGAAGCTTTGTGGATTGCATGCACCAACACGAAACGAACACCACTAACACTCCGGTTCTTTTTGCAGGGAAGCCCTCGATCCAGGAACAGAGAGATTGGTCTCAACGGTATTCCCTTGGTCTCAACTGCTGGGGACGGTCATCCCATCTTTCCTTCTGCTAGCACTGGGTCTTCTCCAGGCGTAGACAGCCAACAATCCATGGGGGCAGACATGAGATGCAACATGGTGCAACGTCCAACGGGTAGGATGGAATCTTGCTGAGGTTGTGTTTGCAAACGTTTGCCTGATATTACCCGGACAAGCATGAATTACACTATATATATATATGCGTTATTGTTCGTCCCTAACTGTTCCTTCCACCGGAATAGTTTAAGGAGCAAAGTATAGCTTAAGATATGCTCATGTTGCCCCTACCTATATAACAATAGGCTTTGCGGATATGGGGTGAAGAATAACACTTCCTGGCTGGAGAAACACATATTGCCAATGTTATATATTTACCTAGTTCGCCACGGGTAGAACGAGCTCACTCCAGAGGGATTCCCGCCTTTTCTTTTTGCCTCGCAGTAAGGTGAGCTGGTGCGTGCTGGTGGGCGCCCCTATGACGTCCGAAGATATTTCTTGGAGGACTTGCAAGAGCTAGCACCAGACCTGGCCGGTAGTTGCATGGCACTGCGTCATGGCATCAGGATACCTTGGCTGACTTGCCGACGTCACGTCGTTCGCGGCTACATGGTGGACTGGTCGGGCTCTGGGTTTTGGACTCATGCCCACCTGTAGTCATATGATGTGGAGATCAGCTGACTGGATTCGGGCGATGTTGGAAGGTTCGAGTCGATGCTGGATGGAGCCCGCAGGGTGGTCATTAACGGGCACTGTTCACTGTTCGATCAAGGGAATGGTTTCTGGACCATTTCTGGACCATTTTTGGGTAACGTATCACTGAGGATTTTAAACGCAGCAGTACTCAGAGTATGTCCCTCATATATATTATATATAATATATACAGTATATATATATATATATTTATATATACATAGCTCATCAAAAAGCGGCTATGCAGGGCTCAACCGCAGGACATCGTGGAAGAGCTTCGGTGGCAACCCAGCAGCGTCGAGGAGGTCGCCGCCGGCGTTGCTCGGACGGCGAGCGAAAACGATCGACGAAAGACTCACCGAGAAGGAGAACACCGGGGGGTGTTGTGCCGGGGTGTTCCAACAAGGTCGAATCTGCGAGGTGTTCACACAAGCATACAAAAGCAGGGATTTGAACTGAAGCCCAGCTTATTCAGAGGCTCACGGCGCGTTCCAAAGCATGTTGGCTGGACCCCTTGATGGAAGTCAAGCGTGGTGGGTGGCTCGGGGGTTTAAGAGACACTTGTCAGGTGACCTTTTGGCGCATGTGGGTTACTCATTGAGGTTTTCATTAGCTTGGTGGTTCCAGGCATTTGCGGTTTTGAGGTTCGTCCAAACACATTCTGTCACCGTTCATTAAGCTTGCTGGAGCTCATTTCAGCTGTGTGCTGAGGTTTGGTCGGATGTGGATTGCAACAGGCACAGCCTGGAGAATGGAGAGGGGTTTTGTAGATCAGTGTATGTCAACAAGATCTAGGTTATTCCCTGCGAAAGACTATTGATTTCATTTGATTTTCTATAGTGAAGTAAAGGCAGTTCCCTGTCAGGTCCCCATACAGACCATTCTTTGGTTCTATGTTCATAGTATTTGGCTCTCGGGGTATTAATATTTGAATGAACGACAAGAAGATGCGGAGCTTGGCCAAGATTTGCAGTCTGCCTTTGCAACCTGTGATTGATTCCAGCGATCTCGCCATGTCACCATGTCACATGTTATATGTAATTTTCCTGCGCTGGCCGGCCGCTGGCCAAAAGGTTAATTGTACGGTGAACATACCACTTTCCAGATTCGGAATGACCAACTAAGAGCTTGATTGTTCCTTTCTTCTTCACGATTCACGACCCTAAAGTAGTGTCGTACTGAATTTACCTGTGAGATCCAGTGAGTGAGTCGTAGTACATTGGCATTCCATCTTGCAGTTACAAAAGAAGTTGCACTACAGGCTCTCGATGTTTTCCCATGTGTTCCTATCTATCTCAGTCAGTTGCACCAATTCCAATAGCCCCCCCTCGGCCGCAGGGGCTTCTTGGATCCCGAGGGCCGTTACTCTCAGGCACGGACCAGTCGGGAGTTTGCGGGTGGGCCAGACATGGGTCGTCTCGGAAGATCCGATGGGGACAAGACATGGGGTGTGTGTATTTGACATAGGGAGATCCCCTGGCCCCAATGGTTTTGGTGATCTGAACCGAGACCCGGGGGAGAGACCTCTCAGGTAGGTCTCTCTATTGTGTCTCGACACACCCAAATGGAAATCTGGGGAGAAGTTGTGACACCTCACCCCCTTGAAGACGATCCCGACCCTGAAGACCAGAAGCTGGAGGAATGCAATCTTCCGGGGTGACCAAAACGACAAGGTCAATTTGTTGTTTTCCAGAAGGGAATAGAAGTGGAAACAAGATGGGGACAGTCATTTGATGTGATTTGACACCTATTAGCACCTATTCAAGATAATGCAGATAGAGATAGCACCTACTAGCACCGTATACATCTTTAGAGATGGGAATAAGAGCTCAAGATCACTCCCTGGATCTTTTGGAGGCGATGGAACCCCGCTCTTCATACTGGTCTAGAAAAGGTTCTTAAGGCTCGGTCCATGAATAGTCGATACTCTGTTGGTGGATCCTCTATTGTTCAGTGACTTTGAATCGAAGTAACCCTGAAAAATACATGTTACTGCTATGGGGGGACCTGGAAAGGCGTGTGAACACTGTGATCTTTTGTGCGAAGGCCGTCTTTGGACAGAATTTATCGTGTGGACATTATGGACATTTTACTTAACGAATTAGCGTATTTAGCCGTATGGACAAGAAAACAATACCGTACAAAAGCGTACCCATATGAAACCCAAGCTTTAGCAACATGTTATCGACAAAAACCCAAACAATTATATTGCTAAAACCCAATCCAACCCAATATTCGGAAGGAATTCCAGCAGATTTGTCCATTTGACAAAAAAGGCCGGATGCACGGATTTTTTGTGCGAACGTGTTTGAACAAAAACACATGCACATTTGGATTCCCTGGGAGACATGAAGAGGTGTGTGTTGATGGGTCACCATGGGAAAGCCGCCACGCCACGGCCGCTAGGCCCGCGGTCGGCTTTGACCATTGTTCCGTTCCGAGCTTGCGTCTCGGGGCCCATCCACCCAAAAGGTCCTAAAGTCACAGAACTTGAAACATCAAGAACAACATCAACACCAAGCTATCCCTGTATCTATCCCTCCCACACATGGTGTCCTTCCCGTTTCCACTCCCAAATGGTCCCCTATCCGCCACCGTGTGCCGTTTCTGGCAACGCGTGTCAGCCGCATCGATCCGTCACGAGCCGACCAGTCGGTCGGTCTGAAGGCCACGTTGCTGGCGCTTCGATCCATTCCTGAGAGTTTAGTGCCCTTCCAGCTGATCTCCGCAGTACTGAAGTGGGTCGATGGCCGCTGGGAGCAAGCGAGCCCCCGGTGGTCCGTCCGAAATTCGGAGGGACGGGGGACGGGGGTAAAGTGCGGAACGCCATTGGTCAAGGGGGTTCACTGGAGCGGAGACGGTGAAAAACCATGAAAAACCTTGAATTGGTGAAAGATGATTGAGCTATGTTGAGCTAATGCTGGACTCAAGTTTTCTTGTTTTCTGCTCGTTGTGTGGAGATGCTTGGAGATTAGTGGTATTTTGGTGCGAATAAACCATACAGACTCTGCTTCAAGCACAGGGCTACGATATCCTTTTTGTCCTCTTTGAACAATAAAACACAAACCAAAGGGAGTGCGCAAACATGTGCAAACAACCGCGTGGCACGATATAGTACGACATAGTACGATATAGAGTGTTCTTATTGCCTTTGAAACGAGTCTAAGCGATGTTGCACTTCGATTCCACTCAGGATGGCGAATGCCCGGCGGCGCAGGAGCCCCAGTTGCTTGCGAAGGGACCTCTTCGGGGCTTGGTCAACCAATTGTTGCTGTTCGCAAGGCATGGTCATGGCTTCCAAATACCCAGGGGACTGCGGCTGGCAAAAACCCTGCCCAAAATGGTGTCAACAAAAATACCCAGGTTTCATGACAGTTCCACGCTCGTGCGACCGAACTCGGGGGGTTGACCTTTTTTGGTCGTTTGAACTCGATAAAGATCGCGTGATGTCGCTTCCAATTCCTGGTTTCGTATGGAGTTCAGAGGTGCGACAGAAGCTACTGAGTTCCAGTCATATCAGCAAGATATAATATATCAATCGATAAGTTGTTTTAATGTTGCTTGATCTAACGATTAGGTATGATTCCGTCTTACTTTTTGGTGTTGGTATCCTCGCCAAGATGATTTTTGCACGTGCATTGGCAAACTACTAGTAGTGTAAACCAAGAATTCAGATGGACAACCTCGGTCAAATGCTTCACAAACCTGCGGGCCTGAGAGCGCTGGGGTTTCATGTCAGGTAGTCGCGTCTATTGTTTGTTTAAGGCATTAAGGTCAGTAAACCAGATTTTGTTCTATAACATCCTATATATATATATAACTCCCCAATAAAGCTGTTCTTGTTCCTACAAGTACTCTCGGATTTCAGACTACAACCAATGTTCATTTTCTGGGGCTTCGTGAGATTGACCTGAGATTCGCTGCTATAGGTCTTGGTCTTTCTCCCTGGATGGCATGAGATCGTGGCTTTGACCGCACGGAGAGGCACCCATTATGTTCGGTGTTGTTTTCATGCCATGATCATGTTACTTGTACGTGTCTCCGGGGGCTAGATCTGATAGCAGGTATTATAATAGTGGTCATAGTGGTCCACAAATAGATCGAACCGATGTCCAAAATCATGTGTTTATTATGTATAATTGGGTGCCACGACATGTACAGTACCCAAGCACACCATGTATGGAATATCTACCGACATCTACCGACTACATTGAGGTGGTTTCAAGGGTCAATGTGAGTATATAATATATTCCATAAATCGAGTGTTCGGGGTACTGACAGCATGACTTGTTTTTTAGTTTTTGTCCGGCAAATCCTGCCAGACTTGTCGGGTCAAGATTGCAAAGGTGATACATCTTTCCTTTGGCCCTCTTGAACTTGTGACGCACGATGTAGTCTCGTTCATGATAGACCTTTAACATGTTGGGAAGACTCGCTTGCGATCACAAAGTGGGTATCAGCACCTCACTCCGATCTCCAAGTCGCCTCATTCGTTCTATTTCGAAGACCTTTTCTGACCTCAAGACCCTCGATTTCAGTTATACCATGTTAATTATACCATGTTTTTCATGCCCAGACACGACCTGTTGGGACTGGCGACACGACCTGTTGGGACTGGCATAGACAAGTGATCAATTGAGGTGGTTGAAATCTCAGAGGTCAATGGTGTGACACAAACACGTCCGCGGTATGGCTCCAAACACTCGCGTCCCCCACAACAGACACCCCATGGCTAAGAACAGGACCCCTGGCTCCGGCGTGTGAGATCTCCCTTCCGTTTGACCCCCCAAAATGAAGACATAGAGCAAAGTCCAGGAAGTCTCCCTACTACATCACGCCACACTGATTGATGTAGACTGTTGTAATTCGGACTGTTAATTGACCCCTCCCCTCCCCTATTTAGATTGTGAAACCTCTTACAGGGAGTGGCTTTATATGGTACAATTGTGAATCAACAGTCAACACATGTCAACACGTTGCTGTGCACCCTTTGTCCGCGGTCAGCTCGACCGACGTCCCCGGCGCCACATTCAAATTTGGCTGCTGCATTGTAGAAAACTGGGCTTCGTGGCACACACTTACCATGAAGACGCTAAGTTCAGACCAAAATGTTGGGGACCAACCCGGACCACCCGGACCAACATCATACAAAACTTAAGGTTGTCTTGGAATTTGGGTCTACGTTCATCGGATCATAGGCCGAAAAGCCAAAAACAAAAATATTAAAAACACCCAAACACCACCAACCGCACGACCGATCCTCCGGCCGTGGGGCTTCTTTTTTCCGAGGCGACGTGCATGTCACGCATGCAACGGGACCCGGCGTTGCGCCGCTGGGTGGCGAAACCGGCGGACCGTGGCGAAGCGGGAGGACACGAGGAATTGAGGAGGGATCGGATGAGGCATTCATGGTCTTCATGGTGGTGTTGGTTGAATTCGTTTGTTTGGTTTCATTCAGCAACTTTTAGTGTGGAATATATATTGGAAGTATCTTGAAGCAGCATACATCAAAGGTCACCAAACAACGGATGCAGTGAGCTCAGTCAGTTCATGAGAGAGCAAGGAGGAAGGTGATAAAGTTATAATAGAAAAATCAACGCCCGCAGAATGACCATCAAGATCGCACCATAATCATGTGTGTGTGTTTTTGCGTAAAGAACACAGTTTGTTTGGATCGTAAGCCTGTTTGGATCGAAAGTGGATGCCTATGGCCGGCCCAGGAGGCTATGAGTTCGTGCCCTTGCACAGCCGCCTGGCCAGAAGATCTTGTCTCGATAGTGAAAGGTAATATGGTAAATGATGGTAAATGAAACCTGTTATTTCGGGTATGTTCGCCCACTTGTGCCATCGAGCATCTAGAGAGAATTTAGATATACCTATGCCACCTAAAGCATAATGTTTCATGACCGTCCATAACTCGCTCAAAACCACTCTCAGAGCCGATACCACTCGCGGCTGAAGCTTTAAAACTGAGGCTTTGAGAGTCGTTTCTTGTTTTCAAGTAGATAGAAGAAGCGCTTTCCAAGACATTCTTAGTGGAGTTCTACTTCATTCTACTTTTCTATCTATTTGGTGGTCTATTTTCCAATACATTCTCAGTGGGGATCTACTTTTCTATCTATTTATTTGGGGGTCGGTGTCCGAGGCTCGGTGCCTCCCAACGAGCAGTACAAGGCCTTTCATCCTGCCAGCAGCGGACGCAAGGCACCGAGCGATGGATGATTGCTGGGAGGGGTGGGATTCCTCTAAGAAAACGCGTCCAATGAGTTTCGTGTGGTGTTTCTCTTTGCCAAAAAAGACAGTGGGACGGAACAACTGGTTGGTGGTTTCGTTGAAAGCGCCGTTTCATGTTCAACCGTCCACCAGTCTGGGGCCCTTGGCGGTATGCCAGGACATACCAGCTGGTGTAGGATGTTCTTCCTCAAAAACAACTAACTTTGAGATTTGAGGACATGGTGACATGATGTTCTTTTGCTTTTAAGAGGATCTCGAAGTGAAAACAGGAGGGCGACGTAGGACATGTTGACATGGCCATGGACATAATGGTGATGCCTCGAGAAGAAGTGCCTGAGCCATCCATGTTTGGGCATAACCTCGTGCCCAGGCAATCCTGAGCACTGACATTGCTGAGCAGCTGAGAAGCACTGGGTTTGGACAACAGCTGGGTTTTGGTTGCGGGGATTCGTTTCCATCCAAACAGCGATGGTCCCTGACAGACTGCGCCTTCACAGCAGGCGTTCCATGTGGGTCGATTTTAAGGTCCTAAGCGAGTGGATGTTCTGGGCACACCGACTTCCTCCATGGATAGCCCCCCCTTTGGAACTGGCAAGTTGTTAACTTTTGTCCAGCAATGTTTGATTGCAATGTAGATTACGGGATCATCATATTACAAGCAGACATCTAACGGGATCATCACATTACAAGCAAGCATCTAACACTTGTAAAGGATCGTCAAGGCATGGCATGAGATGGCTCACCCTCACAGGTCTTGGCAGGCTTTTCTCAAGGGTCATATTCTTGGAAGCAAGTTTGGTTCCACTCTTGGTGATAACATCCAGACATATCCAGATTGTTCTTGCATGTGTTTGTTCATGTGTGCTGTTGTGTTCCTAAGTGTTTCATTGTTTTTCTACTATGTTTTCCTATTGTTCCTGCTTGTGGAAGAGCACGTTGCATGTGCTGCCACTATTGGCCGGCCATTCAGGATCGGTAGCATGTACTTGTAGGAACAAGGTCATTCTGAGATTCTGGGTGTGGACAGTCTCCAAACGTGGTTGTTCCCGTAACTGTTCGACCAGCCACTGCTTTGGAAAACGCAAAGCTGACTAGCCGGAAAGAAGCAGCAGCTACAGGGGTACCGGGTTGAAAGTGGCACACTTGTTGAAGGATGTCCAAGATACTACTCGTAAGAGTGAGCATATCATATCATCTCCGTGGCCGTGGTTGGGTCAACGTCCGGCCACCAATCCAGAGAGGCGGTCCAGAGTCCAGAAAGCACCTGCTCAGGACCTCCATTACTATTCCAGACATCATTTGCGTGGTCGATACTGGCCTGGCCCGGGTGAAGAAGCATACCAACCTCGAGGTGACAGCCGATGTCCGGCTACTGTCCACCACTTTCTCAGTGCTTTACCGGAGCCCTCCGGCGGATTTGACCTCGTTTTTCGTCTACCAACGGTCTTTGGTGAGCCCTGGTGGCAGTATGAAGATGTTGTTGATTTTAGTTATTGGTTTTCGCGGTGACCGAATGTCTGTGGTGTTGGCAACCGCCTCGAAGAAGGAACTTACCTCGGTCGGGATTGGTGCAGTATCTCCTTTGATGTGTGCAGTATCAGTATCCGGTGTCCATCATTTGTTTTTGTAAATTAGGTAGATGATGCCTCTAAAGGTTAGATCGCCTGTCTTCCAGAAACGTCTCCCAACGCCAGGTGGTGTGGGCCAGTCAAGCCAACCTCCTGCAGCGCTGTGGGCGTGCAGGACGCGTGCAGCATGGCAGTTGCGTCACTTGGAGACTGAACACAGCAGGGTGCCACGAAAAATGAACACAGCAGGGTGTCCTGTTGGACATGAACTCACAGGTTTCCGGACCCGGTCTGTTCATACAGCGCACAGCGGGGGACAGCTGGGTCGGTGGATAGAGGATGTTGGAGGTATGACACAGAAGCACGTTTCGATGCACTGCCAGAAGCATTTCGATTCGGAATGACTCAGAAAAGGGCTGGAATATTGAGGGAAGAGTGATAGACCATGAATGACAGACTTAATTTACTCAGATTCACTGCCGGAGGGAGAGCGAGACATTGTTTGCTTCAGGGGATGCAAGAAGACGAGCTGTTTCGAAGAATTTAATTTTAGGGGAACATGGGAAAGCCAACTCGGTGGTGGGAATTCCGACCTGGTCTTCCTGGTTCTGATGTGACGGATGAAGAATTTCCCAGACACACGAGCGGCATGGAATACAGTGATTCACCTTCGGGGGACGACTTGCTGTTCTTTTTTCCATGGAGTCGACTTGGGCGTTTCAACATGTGAAGGCCCCTGGGTTTGCCGGTTTACACTCTTTGTGAACGTTCTATAAGTGAATGTCTTGGTGAAGATGGTCGTTTTCATGGTCACATGCGCCAAAACACATGTCTTACAGTGGGACTTGTTCCACCTCTTCACCCGGTCGAGCCCTCCACCTCTTCACCCGGTCGAGGTCCACCTCTTCACCCGGTCCCGCTTTGGCCTCCTGGATCCCGAGCCCACTCCCGTGCCGTGGCATAATAGAGAAGGGGTCAAAACCTGGAGCCCTGGTAGACCGTGCAGCTTGACCTTCGGAAGGGTAGGTCAACCAAGGTATTCTGGTGCCATGACCCACAGCCATATAATAGCCTCCTTATTACAGAAGAAAACCGTTCCTTTTTCTGACACATTAGCCTTTTTTGAGAGGTTTTATACATTCGTTCTTTCAAGCAAGGGGAGGTCGAGATGAGGCCGAGGTTGAGATGATTTATATGCTGATTTATGTCTTGAGGATCGTTGAAGAATCATCCGTGGCATCCCAAAAAACTCCAAACCCGTGTGACCTGGTGACCGACTGGTCAAGACGGTCACTTCTTTAGTCGAAACACTTCCACCGACCTGTTTTGTGCTAGTCCTTTCATGTCCTTTCCGTCCAGCCGCTCAGACTCGTTTGGATGAGGAGATGCGCCGTGTGCCCCTGGATGAGGCTATGCTGAGCGTTTGCGATTTGGGCTTAGCAGCTTGGCCAAGCTTGCAGAGCCGAAAACTGACGAAACCAGCAGAGCCAAGCCCCGAAATCCTTTCGCGCATGTGAACTAGCAGGGCTTCTGTACGGTGTTTCGGGTGAGTCCTGTTTGAAGGCCCGTCTGACTCCTCGGTACATGGACCTCCCTTTGGACGCACCACCGGCTTTGCTGAGGACTTCTGTAAGGCGGAGGATGTGAGCCCGCAAGAGTTGGAGGCGACCGGGAAGAACAGGATCAAACCATTGGAAGGTCTAATAGACCATATATTATAATATTTGATAATTGTTAGAATATATGAATCCGTGCACAGATGTTGGAAATAATAGCTGGAACTACTGGAACTCTATATACATGTTTTACTCTATCAGGTTGTCCATCAAAATTTCCATCCGTAAAAGTAGAGGAGAAAGACAGCTGAGATTCAAGCAAATGATTTTTGGATTACGAATAAACCACTTCTCTCTCACCGTCACAGTCACCGGGGTGGCTCCATCCGAACACCGCTAGGAGACCGGTCCTTGCGCCTATGTCATGTCCTTCCTCAAGCAAGCTCCGGATCCACCGGAGCCCAAGGATGCGCCGAGTCGATGGTGAAGGATGGGTGGAATCCACGTCGTTGGAGAGGACCGAAGGGTGGCTGCGAACTTGATTTACCATGAGTCTCCACCTGTGGTCTTGGGGGGCCCCTGCTCAGTTGGCCTCATGCCTGCCACTTTGGCTGCGTGCGTCTATACACCTGAATCGTCTAGAATCTGTGTTGGCCATCCACATGGACTCCGCACATTGACTCCGGAGACCGTCTCATCCGTCTCGCTCGCGCCAGCGGGCTGGGGTTTTCACCCTCTCCGAACCCCTTCGCGGTGCGTCGGCCGACACTGGACACCGGTGAGACGTGCAATAAAAGACGGTCAAAACAAAGGTGAACAATCCACACCCTGAGCATCGGTGATTGATTCCAATCAATAGAAGCTATACTTCCACGCAGGAACATGCCGCAACATGCCAAGAAGACACAGACATCCCGTGGTGTTTTTTCCCCCGAACGACTCTTACGACTCCAGCTGCTGCAATGGGGCGCGCACAAAAACAAAGAAAAACATGGAAGCACCGAGTCTACACTGCCCTACACAGTGTGGAACAACACGGTCCTACACAACGGCATTATATATATACCTCCAATCCTCCCCTGGAACACTGTTTTGGTGCCTCTTTCGCCAAGGTGCGCAGCGCCTTCCGGGAGCTGCAGCATGTGGGCGCTCTGGACCGCGCTGGCCGCTTGGACGACGCGCGTCGGTGGTCGATCGGTAGGACACCGGAGGAGGAAAGCGACGGAAGACGAAGACGTGCCGCGGCCTTTGGCCCACTTGGGATACCCTGAAGCGATCCAAATGATTCCAATTGACACTAGCCCATTGACCCTGGTTGTTCGAACACGGATTTGTCTCTAGATGTGTAACGCTTATGTGCCGGTTTTATTTTTTTTTTGGGGGGGAGGCATCGGCTTCGGCTGCCTCATTCTAACATCTCTCGCCTGTTCTTCATGAGTTTGCTCCAAAGGAAGGAAAGCCCCATGATTGCATGATGCCTTCATAGCAGGTTTAGAAGAGCTTATGTAATACAGCTTAACAAATCAATTAGCTTCCCCAGCAAGTCCAAAGGACGGATTAAATGGTGCATTGACCCACTGGGTTCTATAGAGAAGAATGGAGAGACTTGCAGGAGATCTGCGGCCTTCCGGTGTATTGCAATGTTCTGCCATCTGCCCACCATCTGAGGCTTCCTCACGCACTTGGGTGCCTTGTTGGTGCGTTTGCCCATGTCTCCAGGTGCGCTGACACCGCCGATCTCACTGCTGGGAGCTTTGGGAGCTGCTGCTGAACGGAAAAGATATGACCTCTTGGGAATCCTTCAATGTCCTTCAGCTCCTTCCAGAGTTGGTTTTGTTGGTTTCCTATTGAGATCTAGTACACTATATATCTATACATGTAATACATATATAGATGGATAGACGCGTACGCGTCTTAGACATGGGGATCGATACTGCCTTGTGAGGTTTTTGTTTTGTTTTGTATTTTATTAAGTGTTTTAAGGTATACTGCACATTTTTTTTACACACAGATTCAAGTTATAGCAAAACAGGCTGAGAGTCGTCACTCACCCATCAAATGTTCCGTCTATAGTGGTACCTCCATGTACTACCTGTTACTAACTTTTTTCTGCCAGCGGCCAGATCATGTATGGTTCCACCAGATGATGAGAAACAAGCGAAAGGCACCCAACATATTTTTGATGGGTCCTGGGTGAACAGTTTTCGGCGTCGACGGTCCTTGTTGATGTTCTGGATGTGCAAACCAGGGGCATCACGTGTTTTTTTCCACCCATCCGCTTGTTGGTTCGGTTGTCCCCCCACCTTCACAATTGTTTCATAATTTGGGTAGTAACATTCGCTCATATGACTATGTCTCATAAAGATGACACCCCAAACACCCAAAACCATTGTATTGGACATCCAAGTCACAACAAACGTCACGCGTGCGATGAACACTTCTCATTCCCTTGACTCACGTCACCTCGCGACCATATAGTTGGTCTCCTTGAGGCCTTGGTTGTGCCTTCTACTTGGCGTCGCTCTTGGGCTTTCCAGAGGCCGCCAGCCAGGTCTGTGCCGCCTTGGATGGCCGCGAGCCCTTTGGCCGACGACCGAACGAGGAGCGGAAGGTGAGGTTCCGGTGACCAGAGGCTCCGTTCGGCCCCTAGTAGCATCCTTGCCCCTAGTAGCGATGCCAGGAGCCCCTAGTAGCTTCTTGTTCCTAGTAGTACGGCCAGGAGCCCCTAGTAGCGTCCATCCAGTGAGTGGATTAATGTGGATGATATAGTTTTGGGATCCCATGCCGATTAAAACCCGATAGAATCTGGGAGGTCGAGCTCAAAACGACCATCAGATTTTATAGACACTTTTTCTCTAGAATGAGATGTCAACCTACCTGAAAAAAAAAAGCTAGCCCTCAAAAAAGTCTATTTTTCATCATGCCCAATAGGTTGAGCTATTCCATTTTATAGAGAAGGCATGAACATACACTATTTTTAAAAAAGATAGAGGTTGTAGGTTTTGACCTTTATAGGCAGCAAGTAGAAGGCGGAGAATTGATTTCAGAGTGGATGGTGTGTTGTGAGGTCAGGTAGGTTGATATCTCATTGTATAGAAAGCGCTTGCATATGTGGAGGCTTGATATGTGATGTTATAGTACTTGCTATGAACAAAACCGCTTCCTCCGCAGAATGATGCCCTAATTTTAACCCTGCAGTGTCCAAACATGTCTCTGTAGAGTCACAATCAACCTCTTGTGCCACTTTTGTCCAATAATTTTCTCACATAAGTTTCTACCTTCATACTGCCACTTCTCTCTCTCTCTATATATATTATATATATAGTATTATATATAGAATCAACTTCAACCTTGGATTTGTATCATTGCTTTTCTCAAATTCTGGCATAAAGAATTATTGATGAAAATACTAGCTTTTGCAAAAAGGTTGAGCTTAACCCTTTTAACATACTTTATATATACTGCAATAGGTTGAGAGTTCACTTTTATCGTAGGTCATTCTGCCCTTTGCAGTGGGTTTTTCGTGTTATCCGTATAGAACAGGGGATGTTTTGGGGTGTCCTAGTACCTTTAACGGTCGGGTTCAATGATTGTCACGATTCCACTCCTACAGGGACTGGGGATGTACCCAATATAGTATAAACACCCAACCCTGGTAACCCCAGCTACTCAACAAAGGCAAACATGACTCGATGTGCACGCAGGAGAGACAGAGCTGGAGACACGAAACAAACACAACAGAACGGCTCACTGATCGGATGTGCCAATGTTGCAGAGTGAAGTTCTTCATATGTTCAAGCAACATCAACCAATGCATGTGCTCATATGTTTTCCAACCTGAACTTCCCCTATTTTTTTATCACCCCATGGAGTAGAAGGTGCTTCAGTGTCTTCATGTGTCCACTTCAAAACATCTTCAATGATGTCAATGAACAGCAGGAATTGGAGGCCTGGCCTTTGGGGCAAGGTAAAACACACACACATCCCCACATGCCATCCCAGTGGCTCCCACCTCCGCCCCCTGTTCCACCCCCCCGACTCCCGGCGGTCAGGAGTCGGGCGCGCGGCGCTTCGCCGCGGGCTCCGACGGAGAGAAGCGCTGGAGCGACGTCTTCGCCATGGCCAAAGCCCTCGGAGACCGCCAGCGTTCGGCGAAACGGGGTGGTTCTGTCGGCCGTTGAGTCTGTGCCCGGTGCCCTGGGGAAGCGGTTTTGATGGGGTTGAGTCGTTGAGGGTTGGTTGCGGCTTAAGCCATGGGCGTGCTGGATGCTTGGGGGCCCCTGGGGTGGAGGCCACGTGGAGGCGAAGGTCCGGGAGAGTAGGTGGGATCAAGGCAAGAAGAGGAAAAATGAAGGGCAGGACTTCCAGTGCTTTGTGTTGTTGGGGGAGATGCGAAAGAACGTTTGAAGGCACCATTTCATTGGCCAAATTCATTGATGTCCTTGGCCAGCCCTTGGGAATTCCTGGGTCCTGGCTGTTGATGAAAAGGCTGGATGAAGCATGAATGATCATGAAAACGCTGCAACCTGAACACCTCGTGGGAACACACAGTTATTATGTTTCCTGTCAGCAGGTTTGGATGGTACCTCATGCAGGAGCCATAGTGAATAATGGACAATCATTAGCACGCCTTGCGCCCTGAAAACTGATTGTGTGTCCGTGCATGCAATGCAGCAAGGAGACTTTGAATGGGCTTGCAGGCAATCAAGCACCTATGCTGGACGTGCCTTTGCACTGTGTTCAGTGAACGTTTTTGTTGCAGCAGCATCAAAGGACCCCACAATGTGAAGCCTGTATGAGGCTCGTCATTCCTTGGAATTCTGGACCGGAGTATGGGTGCGTCAGTGTGAGGTCTCGAAATGGATATGTGAGCGTGTAGGTCCCGATATATTTGTAGTAGTCCCTTTGGTTGGTGGTATTAAAACCCAGCCCATTAGCCCTGGTAAGGAAAGATTCGTGATTTGTTTTTGGAGTAAAGTAGTCCGACGATGACCATTTGTGTGGTGGGGAGTTGCCTTCAAATCACCGAAATGGGATATGACAGATATGAGGACCCAGCAACATCTATAGCTTGAGTCGGCCCACCCTGCGGTGTTTCTCAGGGCGTTTCCCATAACTATTCACTATAATTAACTTATTCTGTTAATCAGGTTCCTCTACATGCAGAGATGTGCTCCATGACTTTGAGATCTTGGAGCTTTCCTCCTTTGGCCACGAGGCTTCTGTCGGCAGTTTGGCCTCATTCAACCGGTGCTGCAACAGTTGCAAAGCGCGCAGCAGCAGCTGAAGAGGACGGGACCTGGGCGACCCGGTGTCGTCCACGGACACGTGGACGCGGGGTGCCTCGCGGCGCGGCACACGAGCGAAACAGGGAGCAGCCTTCTTCTCGTGCATCATAGTGATCTTATGAGGGAAAGGTGCTGACTTGCAGGAATGCTAGTGCCAGGGCAGGATTTCTGCAAAATAACACATGATTCATTCATTGAATTAGGTCCAGATATGGCTGTCAATCATAGAATCATTGTTCGCTCACCCAGAGGTGGATTCCAGATTCCCCAGGTCTCTGAGACCCTGCTTTGCCCAGGGTCTCCTGGGATTTGTGCAGACCCTTCTGGAACTGGAACTGGAACGACGCAGGCATCGATTTTTCTCGCCGAGGGTGTTTATCGGTGTGGACGTGGTGGGAGAATCATGGACGTGCGGACGTGTGCACTGACTTTTCCCGCTTCTTCTTCTTGTCCCCAAGGTGATATTTTGTGATCAAAAGTGGTACTTGGTGTTGAGGGAAATTCAATCCAAAGTTTTTAGACATCCCTGGCATGATTAGATAAGGTCCTTTGTAGATCTTCAAGGATCCAGCCCAACAGCCGCTTCAATTGACGATATTGGCGGCTTGGATTGGGGTCCACAAACCGCAAGCGATGTTGATGTATTGCTATACTGTTTGAACACACGTCGCAAGATCTCAGAGCGTGTTTGCCGAACTACGCAGCAAGAATCCACAGAAAGGCTACAGGCAAAGCAATCCAGAAGGCATTGGAGCATCAGCGCCGGTTGATTTGGGCTGTTGGCCACGTTAAATGGTCCTACGAAAGAATCGCCCTGGCTGGAAATGGATGTGATTCCCGGCCTACAAGATGCCAATGGTGGCATTGGGTTTTGGATCGCAGAAGTGGCAAGGTGCTCCCCTCCACCAATCCGGCAGAATTGGCAGCATATGTTGAAACCAAAAGCAAATCTACCCCAGGGTGCGCTGACGTTGTCATGCTCTGCAAGTTTTGGAACAAGCATTGCAAAGCCGTGTGTGGCGATGGAGTACAGCGATGTCCACACCTTGCTTCACATCGAAACAGTTCCCACTTTGACGGGCCCATACCTTCAAGGATAGATGAGGCTTTACCTGCATCTCTTCAAAGCCACCTTCGAAGCCACCTGTATTCCTCACCCGTGCCTTCAAGTTGGACAGGTCGACCAGTATAGCATGTTATTTTAGAAGAAGATGCTCAACTCGTGCTGCAGCTACGGAACGTGAGTTGAGGCATGCGGAGCGATTGGCTGCTTCAATACTAGGGAGCCAAAGTACAGAAGAGTCTGTAGACGTGCTGCGTGCCATCTTCGCATTAAGTAACAAATTAACTCCTTGAGCAGAATCACTGGAATTGGCTTTGACGATGAGCCGGTGGACGGGCTTTGACGTTAACTGGTGTTGCTGGAGGAGGGCGGTGGCTTCACCAGAGAAAACCTTGCTACCATATGCTATCATAATGCCCTTAAGCCCAAGATTTGGAGGCTCACTTTTGCCGCCGTCTAGAGGACCGTTCGATGTTGGAGTCGGGTCTTGGGATGCTTCCAAATGTCTTGGGGCGCCCGTATTTAATGTGGGTTTAGAGTTGAAGGGTGGGTGTGCAGGGTGTGAAGATGTGGTGTTGTCCAAAACTGAACTGCAGAGGTGAACCCCAACGAGCAGGTAAAAACAAATACAAACCTGTTGCAGAATTGGCTGTGGTACCAAAAACCTCACCGTGCGCTCGACCCTGGTAGGTTGACGTTGACATCCCTGATTCTATTTACTTGGATGGACGTGAGTTCAGATTGGGGTGCAAACACAGCCACCCCAGTACCCCCAGCGAAGCTGAAGGGCATGGTGGCGCCTGCACAATATTCGCTCGTACGTGTCGAGTGTATGTGCGTGTGTGATTTCGGTCCTGGCGTACCTTCAGAATTCATTTCCTCCGCTTGGGCAGCACCTGAGCCCACCATGTCCATGGCATCCTCGTCTCATCGGCAGGTGACGAGGGTAGGGACAGCTTGGAAGATGCCTGGCCCATCCTGCAGATGCTCGGCCGAACGGAGGTTGTGGGAGGCAGAGGCGGATCCCTGTTGCACCGCCCAAGATGAACAAAATCACGGCTTTATGCATTATGGACCATGGAATAATATTCGGACCGCTCTCTGCTCATTCGGAGGACGCTCTCATATGGCAAGTGTGGTCGCATGTTTGGACTGGATGTGGACTCACGGGATGTCCTCGTTGACACGACGTCCTGACCGACCCTTTGGCCGAGGACCATGCTGACCTTCGCGTACGGCTGGAACATGGGCAAATTGGATTCTGGTCTTCGAAGCCGGGAGAACTGCGAAGGGACACGATGGACGTCTACTGCTCCACGTGCAACTCCCAAGACGTCGAACACAGGAAAACGGCGACTGAGAGCGGCCCTGGTTCTTTTTTGGCGCCTGTCGAGGATACAGCTAGATGGAACCAGTTTCCCGATGTTTTTGGATCCCGAGTGAACTGCTAAAGATTAGACCCTTGTGCTGTGAGAAACAAAACGTGGGTTGACATGTCAGATGGGTCCAGGAGAGGTGCCAATTGACTCCCAGGCGACTGCCGCAATTTTCCACAAGCACTCGACCAGAGAAGATCCCGCGTTGAAGAATAGAAGTGAGGCGCTGCTGCCCGATACCTATCTCGTTTGTTGAATCGTTTCAGGACGATGACGATGAACCAAATCCCTAAGAACAAACGACCATGTCATGCAGAAAAAGCAACCCTTGCAAAACGACCAGTTCCGGTTGGTTCCGTTGGGCAGCCAACTGGGATCGCCTCGTTGGGGAGCCGTGCGACCGATGTTGAGGAGAGTGGCCGCCGGGTGCACGCCGGCTGGTCCAAGCCCGCGCGGCTGGCAAAGACCTCGGCCGCTCGGAGGATTGCAGGGAGGTGCATGTGTTGAGTTGTTATTCACTATAATGAATTGAACAGAAATTTCGATGGTAATAACCTGGTATCTTAAAGTAATAAGTAATACATAAGCTGTTACAGGGTACGGCTGGGATGGGGTGAAAGTCGCGGTAGAGGTGACCTGGGGCTGACCGTGGTTTTGATGGTGCTGTGGTATGCTTTGGTCATGTTTGGTCGAGCTGCTTCGCAAAAGTGCATCACTTTCGCTTCGGATGTCCGGGGTGGGTCACCTTGGGGAAGGCTCTCACGGAGGTTTCCAGGTGTCAGAGAGGAGGCTATTCCAACGTTGTAGGTTGTTTGACGGCACTGAACATCGACCATTTTTTTGTTGAACGTGATACGCAGCTCGTTATGCAAAAAGATTCAATCGTTCCATCTATACATGTTTGTACATTATATATATATATATAACAATTGCAGGTGTTGATGGAGTTCACACCAGAGTTCATGGACACTGCGGAATAGTGACTGCCAGCTGGTGGCAGTTTTGTACAGCGTGATCACGGTGATCACGTGATCACCATTCAGGTCTTGGTGGACGAGGATCCTCCATGTCAGTTCCTGACCTATGTGGAGCTCACCAATAGCGGAGGAAGGATGTTGCGGGGAGGTGCGGGAAAAAGTGTCGAGGTTGGCCTTTGCTGAAAATTCAGCTCCATGAGAGAGACCCACTGCCAGATGTTGATCACGGGGTGGAGGTTCATCCGAAGCATTTTGCTTGGCGTTGGGATATCAAAGAGGCTGGGGCTAGAACAGCCCTTATCATGCCGTGGCAAGCAACACCAGGTACTGTAGAATCCCTATGGTTCAAACCACTCCTCAAAAGGCGGTTAGATCCTCGCGGGCACAAACCCCAGCCACCCTCTACTTGTCGGATGTGGTTGGAGCCGGAAAGGAATTTATAGATATATATACTATATTATATTGCATTGGGTTTGTCCTATAGCCTATGACCTGTGACAGTCAGTAAACGATTATCACTATGTTCAAGAAAGGCCTGGAACCTAACCATCATCCACTGTTACTGGTAATGGGTTATAGTTTGTTGCTTCCGGGCAACTCCAGGGGTGCTCCTCTGCCCCCGTGAGCCGGCGAGGTACCATGGTGACACCACAGCAGCTGGTCTTTTGTGGAAGCCGTGCAGGGCCCTTCTGGCAAGAGGAGACTTTTGGGGCAGGAGACATGGTTGGGCTAGAACTTTCATGCGCCTGCGAGGTGAGCGAATGGAGCAACATGGTTAAGAGAATCATACCGAAGAGAGTCATGTTTAAGATTGCTCAATGAGCAAATCTGCAATCACGTATATAGTTCGTCTGACACACAGATGTTTTAGGGTTTTTTTAAGTGGCATATGCGTTCAGGTGGTGCAACTGCAACTGCATATCCCACTTAAAGGATTCTGTCGACGTGGCGTGTTTGGCCGATGTGTTTTGCGGTCGCCACGAATCGGTCCGGTCGGTCCACCCTTTTGCGGTGCAATTCGGGATGCGAAGGGATGCCGGCTCCGGCGACTCTACCAGCAAGGATGCCAGGGTAGCATGAGGAGTCCAAAGGATTCCACAGGATTTCCAAAGGTTCATGCTTTAAAGAACTTCAAACAACACTTTGGACATCTTTGGATTTTGGAGCACCAAGTTGTTTGTCCCAAAAAGGACATGGTGGTCCTCGAGAATTGGCTGGAGATCGAGGCAGGAAGCATCCACATTCCAAACTCCCAAAGCGCCAATGACTGCTGGTGTGGGTGGGAGCTGTGTGGGGAGGGATATGCCGTAAACCCAATTGAACCTCAAACACTGAATGAGCAATTAAATACAATTAAACTATTTCGATCAGTTCAAAACATAATTACCAAGCAACTCGTGTTTGCTCTTTCTGCTTGGGGCCCCCGAAGCAGGCCCGGGGCTGACCGCACTTCCGTCCAGTCGACAGGCGGACTTCGAGTCAGCAGCCTTGTTGGCAGCCTTGCGGAGCTGCAACCGTCTGGCGCGGCGACGCGCGGTCTCGCGACCGCGACGACGCGATGTCTTCCCGCGTTCCGCACGTCCAACAGGAACTCGCCGTGATGGACGCTGGCGAAAATAACAAGGCACTAAAATGTAAACTGCCTGAAATCATCTTGGAAGTGGATGGCATGGCCCCCCTGGAAGACCATTGTCCTCGAGATTGTAACACTTCCATGACCTTCCATGCTGGTTTGAGGGGGGGGTATGCATTGGAACATCCGTAGATCGATCGCTTGGTTTCAACAATTCATGAATGACTATGAATTGATGGACGTGCCCAGATAGGCGCACTGTGTTGTTGAGCGGCAGACCCATCTTTTTGCAGCACAGCACATTCTATCCAATATTATGTTCAATATAATATGTTCATGTTTTCAGGGTCATGCAGTAGGGTGGTTCTTGCATCAATGCTGATGAAGGTGAGTCACTGAAACAGAGCTCCGTGGAACATGCAGGTCTTGCAAAAGGTGGCGGAGCTTTCTTTGCACGTGACTTGGTCCAACTAAATCGAGACCGAACACTTCTCAAAAACGGGGCCTCAGAACGATGGAAGTGGATGGCATGGCCCCTTTCTGCTGATCGAAGACTGAGCTGGAGGGGTCTCACTCCAAGATGTAGCGTATCATATGAAATCGAAGTGGACACTCATATGACCAGGCTTGTTTTTGCTCGCTCCGCCGCCCTCAGGCATCCGTCATGTTAACATGACGGATCGGGGGGTCACCCCCTGCAGTGAGGGATGGAAGGTTCAGTGACCGAGGCTGTCAAAGTTTCTCAATGTGATGTACCATGATACCCATGCAGGCAACTGAATCATATACTCTTTGGATCACTTCGGAGATTGTGGATCGTTCACCTAAAAAAAGTAGTGATTAATAATAAAAGGTATCGGGCCGGGCTGTTCCTAAACCGGGCAGTCCAGCACAGTCCAGACACTGGGAGTCCAGCACAGTCGCTCCGCTGTTTCTTTGCTCACCGAGGATATGAAGGGCGGTTGGGTGGAATGGACGCCTGAGCGCGAGAGATTGCTTGAGATGATTCAGATCCTCAACTGCAGCAGTTCTGAGAGTGCTGCGAGTTCTGAAGGAAACACCGAAGACTCCAATTCTGATCATGGACGAGGATTTGTCTTCACAACCGCAACCGGTTGAAAATCAGTGTTCCTGGTGATCATTATGGGGGGGGGAGTTTGAGAAGAAACCACGTTTTGTCTAATAAATATCGGTTATTTTGTAGCCAACACATCCCCAAAATGCAGTTTATGTCATTCGGTCACACATGATTTTTTAGCAGGGCTGAATTAGCCATCCCATCATACATGAGTCGCGTTTATTCGCAGAGAAAGGTATTTGTTGTGTTCTTTTTCGGAAATCATCCGGAATCGAATGGAGTGGGTCTCGTTCAGCCATTCGGTATACGTTCTCTTTTTATAGGCACGTTTTATTTGTTTCCGAAGGCCATTTTGGCAATGAGCACATTTGGAAAGGTCATGTTGTGGAGGTTTTTGGGGGATGCAGCCCTATCATTCGGTAAAGTCAGACAACAGCCTTGGCATTACAGATGTCCTGTTACAGGATGCATCAAATTGCTTTTGGGATCTATTGTCTAGGTCCCCTTCTTGCTTCCTTGAGGTCACTTCAGGCCAGGACATGAAATAAGGCATGAACAGCAGGCCAACAGAAGGCTCGAGTTCCCAATCGCCACAAGAATGAGATCATGATCTCAAGGGAGCGAAACGAGGTGCGCGTACTTTTTAACTCAAGAACTTGGGCGATCCGGTCTTCCTCCCGTGCACACCGGCACGGTGTTCCTCGTCGCCGTCGTCCCATCGTCGCCCGTCGTCCAGTGACAGCAAAGGAAGTGGAAGAATTGCATCATTCAAGTCGCAAGGCTGCCCCTTCCAGAGACGTGGCTGCGAAGACCGCAGGGTTGGCTGTCGAAACGTATGCTGACAGTCGATTAATATATGCCCTGAATATTCGGTGGATTCAGAATCAACTGTCAACATGCCCTGACGGTCAACATGAGTCAGCTTATGTTTATGCTTTCAGCAATTCGAGTTCGCTTTCTCTTTCGCGGGACGGGGTGGGTGAACGGGCGTCAACGGTTGGGAGAACTGGCCGAAGTGCCGAGTTCGCGATCGCTTGGTTCATGATGCTTCATGCCCAGACACTCCATGGAACTGGAATATCTATGCCCTGAAATCAACCACCCCAATGGATGCAAAGATGCCAGTCCCAAACAGGTTGTTTGGGATGGGACGGATTTCCAGCATATCGCACAAACCAATCAACCCCAACTGATCGGTCGTGAGGTCGGCTTGAACATACAAGAACATCCCAGTGGAGCTGCTGTGTCTATAAGTGTGTCTTTTTTCTGGTGTGTATTGGAACATGCATATATTCCTTACCTCTCGCACTACCTTCTCCACGTGGAAGATCAGTGTGTTTCTAAGGCATGCATGTACCTTGCTGAGTTTTTGAGAGAACAGTCACTGTTAGCTTGTGCACTCCAGGTGTTTTTTTCTTTGGTCAGATGGTCTCGCAAAATCCAAGGAGAAGATCTCCGTCTGGGATATGAACATCAAGTCCTCGACGCCTCCGCCATGTGTTCTTCCCCTCGCTCTAGTCCCACTAGTGCCACGGTGTGGAGGGGAGAATGGACGAAATGGTCAAGAAACCTGAGAATCCGGGCCCGAACCAACCACGTATAGGGTTTGCTTTGGGCCCGGACCCCTGCGTTTCGGTGTCGGGTCCGACCCCTGCCATGGAGGGCCCATAGGGATTCTGAGGCTGGAGTGTCAGGCATAGGTGGAGTTGGAGTGTCAGGCATAGGTGGAGTTGGAGAGGGCTCAGGTGGGGTCATTTGCACTTGTTCCTAATAGCTTATTGTTTCTAATAGCAAACATTGTTACTACTAGTAAGGCACTTGTTACGAACGTAGCGATGCACTTGTTACTACGTTCGCTTCTTGTTACTGTTGTCCGATGCCAAGTGAGCCGAGTTCCAGAACATTCCAGAACCAGATCCAGATCGAAGATGGAGGGGTTGGAGAATGGTTTCCGGGTAACCCCCACGGGGCGGTGTTTACGAAGAACAAAGGCTCTGAAATAGGTTTTAACGGGGTGTCCCAAAGAATGATTTGGGATAAACTCGGCGGGGATGTTCATGGGGTGTTGGAAATGCTGGTGTTGTTTGGTGTTGCATCACGCATCCAGGTTACTTCTTCTCGGCAGAGAATGGTTTGTACTTGTCATGTAGAAAGTAGATCTACAGAGATAGCTGATGTGTGTGTGTGTGTGTTTGCACGTATGCGTGTGCGCATATGGCATTGATCAATTAGATTGTTGATGTGGTTTACTGTCACACTGCTTTGGAACAACTGCAGTAACTATATTGACACATATATATATATATATTATATCATATATTGTACAAGCCATGCGTACATTTATTCTATTGGTGATGAAGGCACAATGACATGCCATAGCCATAGCCTGTGAATGATTCACATCTTTAGTCTCTACTCATGAGCTGCGTGGGATCAGTTGTTGACGGCTGGGCGTTGACGGTTGGGCGTTGACGGCTGTAATCCATAGGTTGTCCATAGCTACCTGGGATCTCCTTCTTCAAACAGGGTCCCAAGGGCAGAGAGACAGCAGGAAGAAGCTTTGTTATACTTGTCAACAAGCTTTGCATATATATATATATATATCAACAGCTATGTATCAACCCGTGTTGAACCCTGTTGAGCCCAGCAAGAAAACGTTCTCCATGGAGCCTTTGCTCTCCACTGAGGGTGGAATTAGGTCCGATCATACCCCCCCCCCCCGCTCACCGCCTCGCTTTGTCCGAGGTGCCTGATGAGCCGGACATATCGAAGCTGGGACTTGAGACCATGCGCTTGGTTCCAGCGCGTTTGGGTTTGCACTGCCCTTTTAGTGGCCATGATGTCCAATGCTTTTTATGTGGATTCTGGTCGTAGCTGGCGAATTCGACCACGTGGGGCTACCAGAAATGGATGGAGAATCATTATAATCATTGGCAGACCACACAGACGCAGGTATCAACTTGTCAGATCAACCTGCCAAGGTGAAGATCCTGTGGGGATGTGTCTCTTCAGTTTTTGTTTGGATTTGGTTTTGGCTTCATGTTTTAAAGTCACACAAAGTGATGATATAGAATGATGATATATGTTCACCGGTAGCATCAAGAATGTTGATCAGTTGGGTGATTGAAGATCCAAAGAGAGGTCACTCAGGGCCTAGGTATCTATCACAGTATCTTATATCATATAGTATCATTATGTAATATAATACATATCTTACCACACATGACACTATACAGTAATACATTGTATGGTTTTGCATATTGTATTATATTCAATCAACCGTCAAGAGTTCATGACCGCTGCTGCATGCTGTAGCAGCTCACCGAGGACCGCCACGGTGGATCCATGGAGCGGACACTGGGCAGATCCGGGGGGTCGTGAAGGACTCCCGTCGCATCCAAGAACGACTGGCCAAGACGCATGCGAAATACGATTAATTTATATATACTCATATATATATATTTATGCTTATATACTCATATATATATATTATATACTATGTTTATATTTATATATATATTATATAATTCTCATGGCTTCGGGTCTGACCCACTAACATGCTCTTGCTTGTTGTCACATGTTGTCACCATGAAGACCTTGTTTAGGTGAAATACCTTAAGCCTGGAACGCCTTACACTTTTACCACTCACATGGAAGTGGATGGCATAGGTCCTGGGGAGACGATGTGGCTATATGAACCGTGGGTTTTCCATGGAACGTGAGGTGGGAGTGTAGAAAACTGGCCATTCTATGTGGCGACCGGGGTGTTTTTTTAGCTCGGAAAGAAAGTAGTTGCTGCGAAGAGAATGTGGAGCAAGTATCTGAAATAGAATTGGTTTGGGGCCGATCAACTGAAATATAACAATCTATGTTACTATAGTAGCCTTTTCAGTTGGAAATTAAGAAGGTACTGTAAAAGAAGAAACAAAACATATCATCATCATCCCTTCAGTTTGCTTGTTTTGGCATGCATGTCCCAGGCACGCGATTCTATTGTTCTCACCGATGTTCGCGCCAAGGAAGCTGGGGTGAGAGTGAGTCAGCAGAAGCTCGTGTTGTTCAGTCATCCCCCGCCATGCACCCACCATCTTCACAGAGTTCACAAGTGCCATGGGCAATTTCGAGCACCTCACTCCAAGCTGGCACAACACCTCAAGACCAATTTGCGCAGCCAATGCAACATATTGGAGTTACAAACGCTGCTACAGGATCTTCTTGGGGCGACTACGCGAGGAGTTCCTACAAGCAAGAGGTAACTCAAGTGCAGTCCATAGCACAAGCACCATCCCATCAGTCCTGGACGGCTTACACTTCATTCCAAGCCCCAGCACTTTCTGCTACTGAAACATCGCAACTGTTTGTTGAGATGCCGAAGTTGGCATCTCACCAAAAGCCGCCGCAGCCAATGCAACAACTTCCCGTTGCACATGGGCCTTCAGCCACACAATTTTCCCAACCCCAGTGGAGCAATAGCACAACAGACTGCGCCCCTGCAAGATCTTCTTCGGACGACTACGCGAGGAGTTCCTACCAGCAAGAGGTAACTCAAGTGCAGTCCGTAGCACAAGCACCATCCCATCAGTCCTGGACGGCTTACACTTCATTCCAATCCCTGGCACTTTCTGCTACAGAAACATCGCAACTGTTTGTTGAGATACCGAAGTTGGCATCTCACCAACAGCCGCCGCAGCCAATGCAACAACTTCCCGTTGCACATGGGCCCTCAGCCACACAATTTTCCCAACTACAGTGGAGCAATAGCACAACCGACTGCGCCCCTGCAAGAGCTTCTTGGGACGACTATGCAAGGGATGCATCCAAGCAAGAATCAAGATCCCCGCAGATGACATTGCCAACTTCAGTACCATCCATATCACAACATGCGTCATGCCAACAGTCCTGGGGAGATCACATCTCAATTCAAGCCCCAGCTGTCTCTGCAGAAACATCACAACCACAGCAGTCCTGTACTGTAAACAGTTCATCCGAGAGGCAGGCATTTTTCCGGAATGAGATACATGGCCATGGTTTGGAGTGGTCGGCATCCCAATCGTTCAGAGAGATGCCAAGGGTATCCCACCAAAGTTTGTCTGTGGATATGGCAGCTTCATCCGCTGAGTCAGTTCGCATTCCAGTGGAGCGACAGCACAATGCATCTTCTTGGGATGAGAGAAGCAACTGAAGAGCGTCTCCAGCTTGTCATCAAAGACTTGATCCTTGGAGGCAAGAGGACGTCTCCAGCTTTCCACAGCTGGAGGAGGTAGCAGTACTCTTTTTGTAACTTTATCGTCATTTTGAGAGTGCAACTTTCAATTAAGAAGAAGGATAAACCAAGCTTACAACAAGTGGTTCCTATTTTGTTGGGCAGTTGTTCTTGCTGAAGCAGGGGCCACAGACCACCGCCATGTTTTTTTCACAAGAACCCATCCTCATTGGGTGCGATAGATGCTAGATGCTGGGACACACCACCTGAAGAAGGAGGCTTGGACCAGTTTCATCAAGCACCCACCTATCAACCTATCAACCATATCCATCATCACTCGCAGTTCCACACTAGACCTGTGTTGCTCTGCTAGGCAAGGGATGCGTCCATCATGTCACGGAGAAACCCAGGCGTTCACAATTACATGTATAGGGTGTGACGTGGTGTGACTTAAAAGACTCGGAAAACATATTGTAAAAAACAGAGATGTCATTTCCCTGTTGGCTGCTTGAAAGCCAACTCACATTCAACCAGTACAATCAACATGACGATGTTGACGATGATGATCATGATAATGATGAGACTGATGAAGACTACTGATGATGATGATGATGATGATGATGATGATGATGATGATGATGATGATGACGAGGACGACGAGGACGACGAGGACGACGAGGACGAGGATGATGATGATGAGGAGGAGGAGGAGGACGACGACGACGGAGATGATGGCGATGATGATGATGATGATGATGACGACGTTGGGTGAGAATGAGGGCAAGCGGATGTCATTTGTACCCAGAATCGTTTGGTCTTAGCTTCGCGCGTTTGAAAAGCCTTCGGCTTGCGCCCCCAAAAATAACACGCCTTTCGTGCGGCCCAGGTGAGCGCTGTGGGACCTGCGAGCCAAAAAGAGAAGCGGATCATAGCGGATCCAGGAGGCTCTTGTGTTGGTAGGTCAGGCACGGGTTGCCTTTTTTGGGATCCTGTTGACGAATTAAATCACTTCACCAATTCTCAGTCGGTGGCGAATTCTTTGACCCGTGTCTTCGGCTCCAAACCGTTCTCAACCGCCACGATGGACGACGCCTCCACAGCCATTGGCTTAACGGCGAAAACACCAAACCGTGGCCGCGTGGCCTTCTGGGCAATGGAGCGACGGAGCCGATCTGCGGGCTGGCCCAGCTGCTCGGCGCTCAGATGTGGGGCGTTCGGTCGCCGTGTGCGGTTCGGCCGGAGATATTGGGATGTAGTGAAATAGAGGGGAGAAAGGTATGAACAAATAAAGGCCCCGAACGGATGATTATTTTCATACATTTTCCGTTTGCTGCAGGTGTGGGCCTTTGTGGTGTTCTCCTTCTAGGCGCCTACCATGGGATTGGCTCCTTGGCTGCGCCGGACGCCTGACATCCGCCGGGCGCCTGACGGACGATGTGTGACTGAACTGGAGGATTTGGAGAAGGTGGCAGAATGTCATTCGTAGGCAGCACCACCCAGGTCGGGTTTATAGAACCCCCCTGACTATGTCGTTGTCCATCCAATAACCACCCTGGTCGGGTGGTGCTGGGGATATCCTTTGACGCCCTTGGTGGATTAATACAGGGGATACAGGTCTATCGCACCAAGCTGACCCCTCTATGATTCCTAAAAGGACAGTTTTCACAGACGATCCTTGATGGGTCACATGGGGTGTTCCCTGTTCGGCAGAGACATCTCACCCAGCGGCTCCCAGCCGGCCAGGAAAGTAGACATTGAACATCTCAGGGGCTCAGGCTGCGCTGACATGACAACACATCGTTTCGAGGTGAGTCTTTAAGACTCGCTTTGAGAATCCCTCGGGCCGACTCCGAAGGCCGTGAGACGGCCATGTCCGAATCTCCCACGCAGTTCACATGAGCGCCGGTCGTCCAGCCACCCAAAAGGGACTGATCAGGAAATGTTGGAATGGCAAGATATGTCGATTGCCTCTGATACTGTAGAAGATGTTTGCTGCTGCAGGCCCGTTTGATGTTCGATTAATTTTCCGGAAGCACTAATTGCAGTTCATGATTCATAACTAATGTATACCAAAGCATACCAAAACTGCCGTTTCGTTCTTCTCACCTTCCGGATTTCAGAGGATTAACACCATCAGATCTTTATAGGAACAGATTCGCATTAATGATTCATGCAAATGCTGTTCCTATATAAAGATCTAATGGTGTCTCTCATCCCTCCCAAAAGACGTGTGTGAAAAACGTGGTGTTGCTTTGTCCTTAACTACCGGGTCTTCCTGTCTTTCTTCCTGTCTTTCCATCGGAAGACTGTCTATTCCCTCCAGACACGACCTGTTTGGGACTGGTATATATATATATATTAATATATACCTGGACCCTCCAAGGGGTGTCTAATGGACTACCCCACACTACCTAGAGGCTTCCATTGGGCACCCCTTGGAGGGTCCTGGTATATTTCAATTTATTCCATACATGGAGTGTTTGGGTCCCATCTCATCTCCATCGGTTCCCCATCCCCCCAGCCGCCTCGAGGCTTTACCGGGTCCAGCTTCGGGTGCGGTGTCCAACCGGTTGCCCGGTGTGTCGGGCGGTGGACGCTGCGGGACCGTCCAAACTTGGTTCAAAAGAGATAGAGTAGTCAGATAGTTCATCTTCAGCTCATCATGGTCCATTTAAGGTTCCATGCCGGGTTCAGAGACATGCGTCTTGACACATGCGGGTGTGTATTGGCCTTTCTGGGGCCTAGGGTTCTAGACCGCGTCAAGACAGCTGATGAAAGGACCTACGCTCTTCGCGGGCTATGGGTTTCCCTTTCAGGTTTGGTTCCGAGGGGTGGTCGATGAGATGTTTTCTTTACAGAGTATATGTGGTCCATATTAAACCACCTCTCGGGGATTGTGCAATCTACTCTCCATAGTACTAGATCTAGATCTAGATTGGAAAGATTCGTGCATTTAGATGTTTGTTGTTCGATGTTGTGTTCATGCAAGTTCCTCGAGGCCTTTTGTTCACCAAACATGCCCTGGTCGTCTGTGGTCGTTTGATTGATTCTGCCTGCTGCATGCAGGCAGAGACAGACCTTGAGAAGCGAGTCACCCAGAGGCCGAAAGAAAAGGATCGTGTGGTCGCCGACGAGCTCCATGGACATGGGACGGGGATGGACTGTGTTCATTGGGGTGGTGGATTTCGGGGGTCGGTCCATGGTCGGTCAAACATGCGTTCGGGCGGAGTGTTTGGAATGGGCAGGGCCATGCCAGACAGACTTTGCGTCTCGATCCGCTTGTTTGAGGTTTGTCTCCTCAAAGCGAGTGACCACAGACTCTGTTGATCTCTGTTGTTTGTTGGACTGAGCCAGCATGACCCAGGGCGGGTGGTTTACAGAACCCCCCTGACATGCCCTGACCATGTCGTTTTCCATCCAAAAAGTATCTTGGAATATCTTTCAAAATATGGCTTAATAGAGCCTCCAAGTAGGTTGGAGGCCATCGCTCTTAGAAACAAAAAATGGTGTTTGCAGATGCTTGGACGTTGTTTGTCACGGACTCTGCCGCGAGGTGTGTCCACCATCGACAGCCCTCCGGAGGTTGACACAAAGCTGTATGATGTCTTGGGTGTGGGCAAAGATGCCACAGTGGCAGACATCAAAAAGGCACCGACAGTGGGAAAGACTGGCAGCCAACTCGGAATGAGTGTAATTATGTGAGTGTGTATTGACATAGGGTAAATGGAGCTTCCTTCTTTGGTCGAACTCTCCAATTTCTCTAGGTTCCCGGATCCATCTTGCAAGTAGGGCTTTCAACAGCCTGATGGACAAAGAGGAGAATTTCATAAAATTCATAGGAATTCCTAGGATACCATCAGTGATACCCCCAAGTTCCTGCTCCCTAAACACGTAACTACTCACATACCTGTGTCACAACCTGTGCAGACCGCATTCCTCCCTGCGCTGCCTGCCTGCCATCGTTCAGGCCTACTACCGGAATGCCAGGGATTGCCACCCGGACAAGCATCCTGGCAACGAGGTCATGCGAGCGAAGTTCCAGGAGGTGGGGCCAGCGAGCGAGGGTGGCCTGCGACGGACCCGGGCGGAACGGAGCCACCGGGGGAGACCCGAGGACCAGTGGAACCCCCGCATTCATTAGTAAATAGGCAGGACGTGCTTATTGGAGGAATTCCGGGTCTCCGGCGAGACTGGGTCAAATGGTTGGAGAACGGGACATCAAGCGGGTGATTGGTTTTCTCACGACCAGTTGCAGTGCCCTCTTAGTCGATCGCCGACCGTGTTGGCCAATGGAAATGGTGATTGACAAAATTTGATAACCACGTCTTGCGCACAATGTTGAAACGCCAAGCAACACGCCACGTCTTGCGCAACTGAAGCAGATAGACCAACCAGCAGGTTCGGCAACCACGCTTTCCGGGCGCCCGTTTGGTGAGGCATTCACTGGCCCCACACTGCGGCATTTCTTGAAGCCAGTTCTGGCTTTTGTTTTTGGACCAATCCTTTCAGGTGAAGCCAAAATTGGCTTCAATTGTCAATATATTAAAAGTGTCGCTTTGCTGGCTCGCGCCACCTTGCGGCCGTCGCACAGCAGTCAAGCCAATTGCAGTGTGATCAATTAGATTTAGGCCTGGAGCGCAATCAACTCCAGAAGTGACTACAGTTGCGCACATGTTTACTGCAATCTGCAGTGCGCCACATCCGCCCCTGCAACCTCACACATGAACCGTTGCAACTAGAAAGCTGCGTCTTTTTGCGAAACCACCTTTAGATGTAGAAAAGAAGATGTGTTTGCCGATGCGTTGCGAGTGTAGAGCATCGACAGGTCCGATAACGGAAGTTCCGATTGTCATGGACGCATCCTCTCATCGTACTCCATCGCTTTCCTTTTACCATCACTTCCCCAACAACCACAATAGCCTACACCAGGAGTTGAACATGACAAGCACAAGAAAGCCACTAGTAGCTCCTGGCATCGCTACTAGGAGCAAGAAAGCTTTCACTCCTTCATTTGGCGCCAGGTGGCAGATGCCTATGCAACCTTGGCCGACCCCGTTCGACGGCAGAAGTATGTGCCGTCCCTGGATGTGTGTGTGTGTTGTGTCTTAAAAGCTGTCACAGTACACTAATATTCTTATGAGTATTATTCAAGTATTTGATTAACTATAAATATTATATATTATACATTTAAACTTATACATATATGTCTACAAGCCGATCAAGACGTGTATGGCTTTTCTTGCTTTGCTTTGTTATTCGGGCTGCTTGGGCAGCTATAGGAGATGCCGGGGAGCACCCTCACACCAAGCCGCTCCAAGGACCTTCAGGGCCTCGCCGGCCTGGCTTTCTTCAGCACCTCGGCGAGGGTGAGGAGGGAATCGTTTTTGTGGCAAAGTTATTTACAAGGTCGTTCCAACAAATGGGTGGTTTGTAGTTAAAATCTAGGAGGCCCTGCGGCAAAAAGGAGCACAGTGCAGCAATGCAGCCCGACTTTTGGTGCCGCTTGGTCGGCGCTTTGCAGAACATGACCATAACCTTGGGGGGGTGCCCCGCAGCAGGGAAGTCAGTGGGACTGTGTAACTGAGATTTCTTGCACTGACTGTGCTATCAATAATTTGAAAATTAAGTATAGAAAAAACACCAGACACTTAGGTATGCAATGACAAACAATGAGATCCGCCCAAGAGGTTTGAAGGCCATCCGCTTTGTAAGGCCTCACTGTGCGAAAAGATAGAACAAGTGACTCACCGAACGTCACCGGGCAGCGACCTCACTCGGACCTCACTCGGGGGCCAGCGAGGCAACAACGCCACGCGGCTCTTTGGCCCTCCTCCATGGAGAGTGCCGTGGTTTGATTGGACGAGGGTTGAGAAGACGCGAGGGGTTGGCCGGATTGGCCGTTTTGCAGCGGGATCTATCAAGGCAATCGGTGATCCTGTAGCGGATCGGGTCATTGTTGCTGTATATATTATACAGAAGCTGGATGTTACATCTGAATGAGAGCGAATCTGCTACGTCTTTGTCACCTGGCGTCTGACGTCTTTTGTTCAGATTCCCAGCTAAAAACAGGGCCATTCACTTGGGGGTTCGCGGAAG